GGATCGTGACAAGTCATCTCTCTCGAGAAGCCGCCAAGACGAGAAAGTAGAAAGAGCAATGACGTGATCAAAAGGACCGGGGCTTGTCAAAGAGGACGGGGCTTGTCAAGATCATGCCCTGTTCTTCGAGGTATAGCTTTTCTCTCTTGAGAATTCACGGGTTTTTCTTCCAGCTATCTTACTGTTTGGAGAGCTCTTTGGGGAGATGCTTCTAGTGGCTACTAAAGCTATCATCCATTGCTAAGTATGCCAGCACTTAAAGCAATGCACAGGTTCTCTTCTATCTCTATCTCTCTCTTATATTTTTTGTGGACTTTTATTTGAGTGAGAGGTGCTTGTGTGACATGTCTTCCACTGGAAAGCCAAAGCCAAGTTTCTTAGTTGACAAAGGGAAGAAAAGTAAGATCTAACTCTAGTTTCTAGGAGAGTTTATAAAATCTTGGTGAGGCATAGCTCCAATATGTTCTCTTTCGGTAGAGGAGAAATTTTCTATCGCTATGGTACAAGTCATCTTCACTGGAAAGGTGCTAGGCTTTTGAATTCTTAACCAAAAGCTTGAATTGTTAATCTAAAAGCTTGGAGCCCAAGTGATTGTTTGTTTACAAATGAGTGCTTAGAAGCTTTCCAAACAAACAAAAACCATAAGCAAAATGTGCCTTTAGTATTAGTATTTTAGTAATAATATTACTATTAGAATTTGAATTTGAAATGTAGACAGCCACTTTGCACTCGTGCGTGATGCTTTGTTAGTTTACAATAATCCATGGTGGAAGGTAGATGATCCATCCATGTATAATATTAATCCTCTAGCTTGTTTTCCTGAAAAGAAACAATGGTCTCGGTTTTGGAATGATCTAACCAACTTCTTTTTCCCAGTGCATGATGAGGTTTGATTTCCCGCACCGAGATAATCTAAACTTCTACACCCCAAGACTTAAACAAAAGCCCCGAAATCTCCATAGTCTTCGCGGCCAAGCTGTGATTCACATCCCCCGAAGCTAGCATAGCTCGATCCATTCACATATCCATCGTTTCACTCCAATCCAGTCTAATCCATACTGGACAAAGTCTCCCCGCAAAGAAAGAAAAAAGTTGCAAGAAGTTCTTTATCATTTCCGACGCGCATATCATCGACTTATAGAGAGGTTGACGTAGAAGCTTAACCCAATTTCTTACAGAGCTACATGCACAAAGATGAAAAGAGAAAACTGTAAAGAAAAAGAGGTGTAGAAGGATGACATAGAATCAATTAATTCTCTCTGGGGATTTTGTTGGTTTTCTCATGCATATCTGCAATGGCGGTCTCCAAAAGCCACGACTGGAGATCCAGTGGTGGTTATTCCCCGTGTGGCTCACACATGAAAGCCAAGAGGGCTGACACGTGAAGGTGACGAACTCAAGGATGACATCCATTATATTCGTATTTTAATCGTCTCTTGGGCGATTCTATTCTTCTTCTTTGCCACTGGTGGTGGTGGTGGTGATGGTGGTGGACGATGATTTTATGGAGCTTCTTGGCCTCTCTGGTTCCATTCGGAGGAAACACACTCAAGTGGTGGCCTTTGATGCTGCTCTCTAACACACCTACAAACCGAGAAAAGAGGGAACCACCAAACTTGAGCTTGAATCAACGATCCCTAGAGTGAGATTTTACCTGGTGTTGGAGTGCGAGGAGTTTTCTCTTTTCGCATAATTGCTATCATTTAGCCTTCACTGCAATCACCAACAAGAGAGATCACCAACGAGGAGAATTTAACTTAATTACCAGGCCCCGAGATGTTCTTGTTCTTTCCCCAGAGCTCTAGGGGATAAAACAACTCCGAGCTGCTAAAACCGACGTGTTTGCAATGTCAAGATTCTAAAAGCCTTGAAAAGAGAAAAGGCTCCTTTTGTTACCTCATTCCATCACCCGCTTACACCCGGACGGGCTTTTCGAGCGAGCTCCGTTTGCCTCCCAAAGCGCAGGAAAGAGCTGATGTGCCATTTTCTTCACTCCGCATTATGGAAGCAGAGGCCCCTGTTTGTTGCTCCCAAAGTTTGAAAAGTAATAGAAAACCTGAGAAATCAATGAGATTCACCTTGCTTGTTGCTCCAAATACAGCCTGATACCCCTGGTTGAAAGAAGGGGGGCGGGGGAAGAAAAATTCACCTCACACCACTCACCGCCCCTTCCTTGGATCAGGCTTTTGAAAAAAGCGAGAAAGCAACAAGGCGAATCATCATCGTCTCGCCGTACCTGTGATACGTCCACAAATGCCGTTTGGTGCGCCGGAGGGAGATCACAAAGATTCGGTGTTTTAGTTAGCTAGCCAGTCAAAGGACTGGAAGCAGCCACCATGTAAATAAAACAAAATCTGCGAGAGACGAGGGAGTTTTTAAAATCACAAACAAATGCAAAATGCCAACCAGAGAGAACAGCTCAAAAGAAGTGCTCGATAACTCAGAGAGGTGGTGCAAACGTAGCCTCAGAAACTTTCAAGCCAGGATCCGAAAGAAGACGTAAGAACCGCAGGAACGAGGACTCTACTTAATAGTCGGGTTCGTAGAGCCTCAGACGACCATGGACCACCAAACCGACAGACATAACTCAGCGAAACATAAAGATGAAACAGCTACATAGCTCACTACAGAGGAAGAGAAAACAACAACAGCAAAGGAAAATAAAAAACCACGAGAAATATATGCAAGAAACACAAAGCACCGAAACAATGCCGACTAGAAAAATTCGAAAAAGTACCAGCAAGTAGCAGTCGTAAACCTTTACGAGTTCCGTTCCCACTACCCTCCGACTGAAAGAGAGAGAAAGGCAAAAGAAAAAAGAGTGTAAGAAGACAACATGAACAGGGAATAAGTAAGATAGACGCGAAAGAGAGAGGGTCTCTTCTTAGTTCTTACCTTGAGAGCAGCCGTCCGTCAGGAACAAGGGAATCCATGCAAGAGGCCTCGGCATGATGGAATCCTCTCCATGCGCAGCCAGAGTATATAACTCGTGCTATCCATCACACCACCAGGAGCACGCTTGCTTTACTTGACACCTTTCCTCTTGCCTGTGGCTGTGCTCCCCTGGATGCTATACACTGGCTGCTGCCGGCTGGGCTGCCTGCACAGAAGCTTAAGCACGGAGTTGGACGAACGAACTGTAGAAAAAGAAAAAAAAAAGCTTCCAAGTGAGAAAAGCAAAGTTTAACATTCTGCACAGAAGCATAAGCACGGAGTTAGACGACCTGTGGAAAAAACTAAAGCTTCAAAGTGAGAAAAGCAAAGTTTAACAAAGAAAAGCACTTACTGTCAACTCCAGTCCGTTCCTTACCCCGCGAAAAGCCCTCTTTTCCATTCTCTTACTCCTGCAGCAGATGCTCTGTATTGCGCGGTAAAGAGAGCGCATTTTTTGTTGGCAAGTCCGCTGTTAGGTGGTCCGCTTTCGCTTTCTCTGCTTTCTTCTCCCCCTCCCAAGAGTCCTTCCTCCTCGTCCGCCTTTGGAGCGAGCCCTTCGGCAGCAGCGCTTGATATATGTGTAGGTTTTAGCGAGGTTTTTCTTCCGCAGCACGCTCTTTGCATGCGTCTTATAATTCCTCCTCCTCCGCAAGTCCCAAGTCGTCTCGCCTCCGGAAAATCGATTCTTTGCGTTTCTTCCGCAGTTTCGGCCTGACTCGTGTCGTCTGTGTGATTGCTATCATGCCATCCAGCAGCGTTCGCTTTGCCTTGCTTTCCCTGTCTCTGTTTTCCAGCTGAGGAGCCGAGACAAGCGCTCCCTTGTCTTCTACAAAAATTACTCTTCCATATCAGTGTCGTTCTTCAAAGGCTTTGCGCACTCGGGAGTTCCATGATGAAGCGTGGCCTGGGAATTTGCTTCTCCTCAATCACCCAATGCATGATGTTGGTCTCCGGCGGTTTCATATCTGGCTGAAGATTTCCTTTCCTCCAACTGAAGCTCCCAGCAAAGAAGTATCCGTCCCAGCATGCCGGCAAAGGAATACGATCCGTCCGCGTTACTTAATGCCAAGCCAGGAAGTTGTAGCCCCTCTCCATCGCATTCCCGGAAAGTTTTCGAGAGCCTCTCTTCCATGCTGGACAACTTCAAATATTGCAGGCCGAAGCAGGACTTCCAGCACAGCTTGGTGCCGCTCCGGAGCAGGAGGACGGATGCATGGCCGCGAAACAGCACCAGCAGCAGCAACAGCAGCACCAGCACCAGCACCAGCAGCGGCAAGGACGAACAGAAGTTTCACAGGGAGGCGAAAGCTCGCCATCGGAGGAGCGCTGAATTGCAGCATCACTACATGCTCCATCCAAATTCCGGTTATCTGTTCGCCACGCCTAAGTTTGAAAAGGCCCGGAGCTCCCAGTCCACGGACGAGTCGGACGAAGTCCTGGGAGATTTGCAGCCGGTCATCGAGGAGCTTGGTTCCAGTAACTCGGCCAGCCGGAGGCATGCGGCGGAGAGAGTGAGACGGCTTGCAAAGTCGAGCACCAGGATAAGCATGACGCTGGTGAAGATGGGTGCAATCACACCACTTATCGCCATGCTGGATGCCTTCGCCAACGATAAAGGTGTCCAACACACGGCCCTGCTTGCACTTCTCAGCCTCGCCATCGGAACTAACGTGTAAGTTCTCCACGTCTCACACACCTTCCCAGTTTCGTTCCTGTTCCTGTTCCTGTTTTTCGTCCGTCCGGTCGTTGCGATAGTTTTCGAATTTCCGCCACATCGTCGGTGTCGCTGATATGTTCCTTCCATTGGTGTTTGCAGGAACAAGGCTGCCATAGTGACTGCTGGAGCCGTCCCGAAGATGGTGAAAATTTCTCAGGAATCGGGAGGAACAGTCCAAGAAGGCCTGGCAGCAGTCTTCCTCAGCTTGTCTGCTTTGGATGTGAACAAGCCCGTAATTGGACATTCTGGTGCTGTCCCAGCTCTCATCAATATCTTGAAGCAGGGAGCAAGCTTGAAAGCCAAAAAGGACGCATTGAAAGCGCTGTGCAATCTCTCCATCTTCCACGGCAACGTTAAGGTGATCGTCGACGCTAATATAATCCAGTCCCTGCTAGATATGATTTACCACCCCGAGCTTGTGGAAACGGCAGTAGATCTTCTGGGAAATCTAGCAGCAACGGAAGTTGGCCGGCGAGCTATTGTCGACAAGCAAGACGCTGTCCTCATACTGGTGGACGTTCTCGGCTGGGCTGACGCTCCACAGTGTCAAGAGAAGGCCGTATCTGTCCTCATGACCATGGCGTACCGGAGCCGTGCGTTGAGACAGGCAATTTCCCGTTGCGGAGCAGTATCGGCACTCTTGGAACTGTCCATTTTGGGGAGCTCTCTAGCACAGAAGGTAGCTGCATGGATCCTCGACTGTCTCAAGCAGGATGACGACTTTGGCAGGAAGAGCTCGACTACGTTTCATGATGTCTTCTGCTGTGAAGACGCGCAACCCGGAAAATTTGTCCATAAAGTCCTTCAAAACCGCAACATGATGGCCAGAGAAGGCATGAATCCGCAACTTGGTCCTGGTTGTGATATTTCTGACCACTTCATTTCAATCACACTGTGATTTTCAGCTCCGCTCATCATGTCTGGAAAGAAAAAAAAACAGCATTTAAAAACAGGAGTCACGAGAAACAAAGCCAGATATTTCCTCATACCCTCAAGATATTCCTGGAGGGGTCTCAAATTCCTGGCGTCTTTTGTAAATTGCAGAATGAATGTTCTTTCACCTGTGCAGTACAGTTGTGTAACTGTGTAATTTTTTTCCTCAACAATCCACGGTCAAACTCAGTCACCAAGCACAGCCAGCTTTCCAGTCGGTTTCTGTGCGAAGGAACGCCAACAAGGTTAGGCAGTACAAACAAAAAAGAATAACAGAGTCACCATCAGCAAACCTTACCTTATTCTTTCCTTCGTAAGACGTGAACATCGGATTCTGCAACCGGACTCCAGCAAGCCAACTCCCTCACCCGAAACGACAAGTCCATACAAAACAAGCTCTTTCCGCACGAAAATCCTGACCGGCAATATGAGCATGCGCCCCCCTATCAAACTCATCAGACAGACTTTGAATTAATATCAGAAAATACAGCGCACTACGCTACAAAATAGAAACTGATGCCTCACAAACCACAAGACATCAGAGAGGTGTTGGGGACTCCTCGCAAGAGCTCTCCTTAGATTGGTCTTGTTGCAACTCTGTGTGTGGTCCGCACGCCGTTAATACATAAAATTTCAAGGAAAATGAAACAGCAGCCTACCTTTCTTTTTAAGCTTGTTCCGGAAACTTCTTTTCCTGCTGAAAGCTCCCTCCTGCAATAATTTTAAAAGACCTTTAGATGAAGGAACGCATGAACAGCATATAAGAAAGTACCACTGGTTGGCCATCAGAAATTGCTATACGGACAGCGTTCGCAAGCGGTTTACTGGATTCTGTGTAAAGACTTGTAACAACGCCGGTATTACCAGCCCTTCCCGTTCTTCCCACTCTATGGAGATAATCGACTGCATTTAACGCAAACTCGGCCTGCAAAGAGCTAGTTGTAAAAAGCTTTCAAACTTTGTTTTACTCACCTGGACGATATGACCAATATCACGGATGTCAAGTCCTCGAGCGCCTGAATCTGTACACAGCAGTATCCCGCCTTCATCTTGAAACCTTTTCAAGTTGCTAGTGCGCTCCTCCAAGGGGATATCTCTATGGTAACAAAGTGGTACGATGTTTACTTTCTCCAGAATCTTGGAAATGGCAGTAACTGACTCGATGGTGTTTGCGAACACCATCGTCCGCATAAAGGATGGTGGCGTACCTGCCTCATTAACTTCTGGCCGTGCGGCAATGGCTTTGAGAAGTGCTTCTACTCGCTTTTTAGAATCGACCTCAATCCACTGATGCTTTACACTGCAGCAGAAACTCGATAAGTTACGAGAACACTAGAACCACACGCTACCTTGGAATTTGTCGGTGAAGGAAATCGCCGTTGACCCAGGTAGCGTCCGGGAATTGGTACGAGAGCATTATAGCAGGAGTCTTTTTCCCTACTACCGGCAGTGTAGCAGCCACAAAAATGTATTGCTTGCTTCTTTTGTACTTTTTCCTGTATGTCTTGCGCTTTTTCTTTGTAGTGTCGTCCCCCTTTTCATCACCGCCAGATTCTGTTGGTCCGGGAGTACAGTCAGTAGCTGTCTCAGAATCGATGTCTGCTGCCGCTTCCTTCCACTCACTGGCTATCTCCTTTTCCATATCAGAATCACCGTCGGATTCAAATTCCTCTTCTTTAGAAGGTTCAAAGTCGGTCCATGGCTTGGTTTCCTCCTTTTTTTGCTCACTACCCGGCTTCTGGATGGCTTTTTCCTCCGCAGCAAGCTTTTTCTCGGCAAGCCTGAGCAGTGGAATCAACCGTTGGATCACTTGCCGTTCAAAACCCCCTGATAAGAGCATATCCGCTTCATCAAAGACCTGTGTACCTCCTTAAGTATGTAGTTCGGCAGAAGATAGAAATGAACAATCAACTCACCACATAACGGGCATCTCTTAAAAAAGCCGTTCTACGCTTTTGCTTTGGATCGAAGCTGAAGAGGTGGTTTATCAAGGCTCCCGGTGTAGCAAACACAAAATCTGGGGGCGATGTTGGCCATCCCTGAAAAGAACATAGTAAATTATCAGGAACTCGGGTGAGCATTTTCTCACGTACCTGACCTCCGGTTATGACAGCAACCCGAACAAAATCACCCAGCTTACTGCAAACCTTGGTCGCCATCTCGGCAGCTTGTTGACACAGGGTAGCGTTCGGGCACAAAACCAAAGCAAAGCTGCGTGGAATGTAAGCATTCTCGTCCTCGGCTTTCTTCTCCTTGAATTCCTGATTCGACTTTGCAAGGAGTTGAAAAATCGGAAGGAGATATGCATGAGTTTTTCCACTGCCCGTCTCGGCAGCCAAAATTACGTCACCACCTTCTAGAATACGAGGAATTGCAGCGCCCTGGCAGAACGAAGAGCAAACTTGTTAACCCGTAATCACACACAAAAAGAAGTCTCCTCACAAACATACCTGTATCGTCGAGGGACGATCAAACCCCGCCTTCATAGCAGCCTGTGAGATTTCCCCGGACAATCCCAGCGAAATCCAGCTGACGCCAGGCTCGGCATGAAAAGAATACCTGGCCTGCTGCTTCTTCTTCTCCTTGGCGCTCGCAGCGACGGAATACACGCGAATGAATCCCCCGCATTGCGATTGCGATTGCGCCCTAGCGCCGCTGCCGCCGCGCAATCCCGACCTCCATATCCACTGGCAGAACGTTGGCGACGAGAATCCGAGCTGCCGATGCGCCGGGGCGCCAAGCATTTCTCCACCACGCCCTAAACCCTAGCTCCACCTCTAAAACCCTATCCCGCCAAATACATTTTAAAACCAATGCTTGATAGAGATTAGGGCTTTTGTGCATACTATATATACTCTTCAATGATTGGCGGGAAGAAACAAAAGTTTAAAAACCATTCTTTTTTTTGCTCCTTTTCTTCCTCTTTTAGTTTCCAATGGGCTGAGACAATTGATCCAAGAACACGGCCTCCAGCCCCGAGAAAGATTTGTTGATCTCCGAGAGGTCGTCGTCCTGGTCGCAGCAAATCCCCAGATCGCTCACGCTGAAGCTATTCCCACCACAATCGCCCTCGTCCCAGATCATCGACTGGCACTTGAAATCGTCCCCTTGCTCCATGATCGTCAGCCCACCACCCAGCGCTGGCAGCTCCGCGGAGAAATCCGAGCTAAAGATCTCCGGCTGGGTGATCATTTGCCTGTGATCGACGTCGCAGCAGCTGGAGCAATTCATCTGGATCGCGAGCTTGTCCTCTCGGCAGCGCTTGAGGATCGCTCTGTTCTCGCTGGGTTCCTCCACCAGCGAGCTTGGCACGATCCTGCTAGTGCCACCATTGTTCTTGCTGGTGTTGGTGGCGATGCTCAAAGCGCTGCCAGTGTTCTTCGCTTCCACCACGCAGCTCGTCGACGAGCTCGAATCGCTCGACTTGTTGGGCTTCTCGATGCAAAGCTTCTTCGCTGGAGCAGCGTGAATTCCTGGCACTGCCGCCACTGCTACTCCTGTTTGATCGGATGCCGCGGAGCTGCTAGTGCTACACCCGGAGTTGGATCCCGACTCGGGGAAATTGAGCTGGGCGGATGGGCCGTAGTGGATCTTCGCGGCACGATCGTAGGCAGCAGCGGCGTCCTCGGCGGTGGTGAAAGTCCCCAGCCAAATCCTCGCTCCTCGATTGGGCTCTCGAATCTCCGCGACCCATTTTCCCCAAGTTCTTTGCCGGACGCCACGATACTGGCACTGGGAGTTTTGTGGACCGCCCTTGCCTTTCATACACCCCTTCTTGCTGCGCTGGGGGCTCCTGTCACTGCTCGTGCCGCCCAGATTCGCCGAGAAGCTCGACGATGCCAGCGAGAATTTCTTGGATCTTGCAAGATTGTGATCGCTGCTCGATGCCGCCGCGGTGGCCGCGCCCGGGAGATGATGGATCAGCGCCGCCGGCGGGATCTTGTAGACGATCGGGGTGGCGCCGGCGTCGATCATCTTGGGGAGGACCCTGTGCGTGTTCTTGCTGCCGGGCGCGTTGATCCGGCGCACCGAAAACATTTCTTGCGGGTTGGAGCACGACCGGGGAGGCATTCTTTTCGCGAGATTTCGCTCTCTTTCCTCGAGATCGATGATCCTCGCAGAGCTTTTCGGCGCCCCGCCTGCGCCAAATATGATCCTCCTCCTCCCGCGACCTATTTCTGGATCAAACCAATCCAGCAAAGACTTACTCCAAGATTCCTCCTTGGCGCTCCGGGATCGCTCGCCCTAGCTCCAAGATCACTCACATTCTTCCTCTAGATCGCCATAAACCCTTCCTCCCTCCCAACAGAAGCAAAGCAAATGGCATGGAATAAAACTTACCTGCCAAGACATTAACTTTTTACCCCCCAAAGATTACAAGAAAAATCCCCCGAAATAATAAGTCGGCCGCCGCCTTGTGGCTTAAGTTACGTGGCGTTAAACATCCAAACGGGCGCCTGCCACGTGTCGTGCGTCACCGCCGTTAAACAACACAACGGGCGTCACATCCGGCCGTTAGGTATGCCACGCCAGCCCTAGTCTATTGTCCTCGTGATATTCCATGGTTGGCTTCGCGCCTCCTCAAACTCTCAAACAAACTAAACAACAACAAAGAACAAATATAGTGCTGGCAGGCAAATCTTGGCTAAGTGCCAAATTCTCACACAACCACTAGCTATGGCCTTTTGTTTCCATACAGTTCAATAGAATGGATTGATTAATCGAAAGAAATTTGCAATTATCTTAACCATGTACACTGTTTTGGATCTTTTAGATGGATTGATTATTTGCCAATTATCTTAGCGACATTCTTATAGGATTTTTAGATGGATTGATTCATCAAAATAAATTTGCAATTTCTCTTAAAAATGCACATTGTTTTAGATTAATCAAAAGAAATTTGGCGGGAATCCGGATGATTTTGGCGGGAAAAAGGGTTTATAGGCTAGAGCCCTAAAGAGCGTCATGTATGGGGACAATGCGGCTATGGATTTTGGGGGCGGGGGGTTCATGCCCTCGCAGCCCAGCGGCTTCGCTACTGGAGGCGGCGATCCATCCGTGAAGGTATGATTTAGAGCGTCTTGTTCTGGCGATCTTTGCGATGGATTGATCGGTTTTTCGTCCGATATAAAGAAATCTGGGGCTCCGAGCAGCGGTCTCTTCCCGCTTACTGTGAAGCAGATGAGCCGGGCGATTCAATCGGCTACTGATGATAATCTTATTGTGGACGGCCAGTCTATGAGCAATGTAAGAAAGCGCTATTTTTTCTTTTTTTTTCTTCTTGGTCTGCTGATAGAATTCACGCAGGTCACGATGGTGGGGATGTTGCTTGGGAAAGAGGAAAGGGCGACGGATATTTCCTTCATGCTTGACGATGGAACTGGCAGAGTCGAAGTGAAAAGATGGTACTAGCAAAAGCTCTTTTTTCTTTTTTTCTTTTCTGATAGTGTTCTTCGTTTTTCTTCTTTGTTTCAGGATCGAGTCACCGGATGCTCCCGAGGCTTTGCAGCTACACAGCATTCAGTAAGTACTTGGAAAATGGAGAGAGAAATGATTTGGACTCTTATTTTTTTGTTATGGTTCTCGCTGCTTTCTTATTTCCCAACGTCAGGCACGGACAGTATGTACGAATTCACGGACACCTTCGGACGTTCCAGAACAAGAGAACAGTTGTCGCTTTTGCAGTGAAGTAAACTCACTCGATTCTCTGCTCTTGGAACTCCGTGGCTAACTTCGTTTTGCAGGCCTATCACAGACTTCAACGAGATCACGTTCCACTTCCTGGACTGCATCTTTGCACATACCTACAACACGAAATCACAGGTAGCAAGTCCTCTTAGCATTGTTTTGTAGAGAGTTTTAAAGTTTCAGCTTCTAGGGGGCGGCAAGGCCTGACGGTCCCGCGTCTCCTCCCACTTTCAATCACACAAACTATTCCAATCCGGTATCCAATCCGGTAAGTGCATTGTAAAATCCATGTAACGGGGAAGTAACGCACCGTTCTTTCTTTATTCCTTGGCAGTATGCTACTCCAGCGGCTCCTGCGAATTCCAATGGGATGAGTGAATGCCAACGCCGGGTACAGGCGGTTTTTGAGGAGCCATCTGTTAAGTCCGTAGCTTTCGCATTTCGAAGCTTGCCATGATGTTAAATACTCCGGTGCTTGTTTTATTTCTTGGCAGGGAAAGTGAGCAGGGCCTTCACGTTGATGAGATTGCGAGACGTATTACTGGTTTCTCCAAGAAGCAAGTCAGGTAATATTACGTTTTCATCGGTGAAGGCTCCTGATATATTTTAACACTCGCAGGGATGCGGTGGAGTTTCTGGTGAACGAAGGCTACGTTTACTCCACTGTCGACGACGAGCATTTCAAGTCCACCAACACTTACTAATGTCCAATGGATCGCTCAGTAAAAAAAGTAAGAGAGGTACTTACGAAGTTTGCGGAAGTGTAGCCAAAGGTACTTATAGTTCTATATTTCTCCCAAGGAAACCTGTCACAACTTTTCTCAAAGACAGGAACCACGATGAAAGTATAGAGAAACTTTGTTTTTATCGTACGCAACGAGTCTATAACTTAGCTTTCGAGTTAGATAATCCAAGTTGCACGATGCGGCCGTGATCACCGGGAACTTAGACACTAGATACTCACAAAACCGCGACTCCAACTAGCTTAGATCGATCACTCTCGCCTTCTCCAAAGCTTGCGATAGGTTTCTCCTGCCGTAAAACAATCAGAATGGAAGCATAACTTTCTTTTCTTACTTGGTCGTCGTGTTTGTTCTTGTGCCCAAGCTCGTCACGTTAATGGCCGCGTAGCGCAGTGGATGAGCGCGTCAGACTTCGGATCTGAAGGTCGTGGGTTCGAATCCCACCGTGGTCGCTGAAAGTCCACATTCACACACTAAAGCTTACACATATATTTTTCAAGAGGCCGGCTTCTCGTTGATAAGTTGCCAGCACTTTTGCAACGTTTGCATGAGGTCGTCCCCATTGATCGGCTTGCACAAACACCTGGAAGAAAGTAATAAGCAAAGAAAACAAAAGGAGAACGTCGAGAGAAAGAAAAGTAGACTTACATACACATGCCGGCCTCGTAACACTGGCGCATCTCCTCTTCCAGAGCAGCCGCGGTTACAGCAACGACGAGCGGGGGCGAAGCAACTTCTTGTTTGATTCTCCTACATGCTTGGAGCCCATCCATCTCGGGCATGTAGCAATCCATCAAGCAAACATCGTACCTGGAGTGACAGAGTCAGAAAAGAACTCCAGAAAAAACCAAAAGGATAGCTTCTTACTTGTTTTCCTTGGCCAGTATTAGTGCTTCTAGCCCATTCTCAGCTACATCAGCTTTGTATCCTAGTCTCCCGAGCAACTTTATAATAACCTGAAACACACTCACACAACGGAAAGAAGTCTCGTTTGACCTTTCAAGGTGTAGGTCTCGAGCAACCAAACCTTTCGATTGATCGGATTGTCTTCGGCCACCAGGATGCGTAGCGGGCACATTTTCGACACCTCGACCAGCCTCTTTGGAGAGGAAAGCACCTCATGCTGCTGTCGGAGTGAAGTTTGTGGCATGAAACTCAATAAAACACCGCGAAGTTGCGACTCCTTGATAGGCTTACAAACGGAGGCTTGGAATCTGATCGGTTTGTCAACACCCTGAAGCAGGACAGAGTGAGAGGCCGGTTACTCGGTATCATGAGATTTTACCGGGAAGTGGTACTCTCGCTGGCGCTCCCCAAAGGGAACAAGTATCACAGTTGGGATGTGTGAGTCATCCTGGCAATATTTTAAACACTCCAGGGCTTGGCTATTGTCTGTTGCATCAAACTGAACACAAATGAGATGCTGAGGCAAGGGAATACAGACAACTTACTAATACATTGTTGAATATCACGACATAAAGCTCGGCCGCCATTTGATGTAGCAAAGCCACAGCATCTTTGCTGTCACTCGGGCATATTGGCCTCATATCGAAACTGAAAAAACCACAAGCGAGATTTGAGGACGCAGGAAAGCGCAGATGATGCTTTACCTCTTGAGAATATTTGCACACATTGCTTGCGTGTTGCTGCTACAAGCATCGACAACAAGAACTCGCTTCCCATGAAGGCTTGCAGTGGCATCGTCTTTGACGCTGGCGTTGGTGACACATTGCACTTCTTCGGCACGGATCGTGAAGTGAAAGGTACTTCCAGCTCCCAAGTCAGTCTCCACCCTGAAGAGATCATAATCACGTCGAGCGTCTAGTTAATCAAGCGGTTACCATATACGACCTCCATGTAGTTTGCATAAACGAGCACATATCACCAGGCCAAGTCCTGTGCCACCATATTTGCGAGTTGTTGACGCGTCAACCTGTGAAAAGGCCTGCGCATTATTCCACATTGTTAGCACGAGTAAGTCTTTTTGCTTGGGTTCTTACATATACAGATTAGATCGGTGTACCTGGAAAAGACAGTTTTTTCGGTTGGCTGGAATGCCCGAGCCTGTGTCCTTTATAGAAAATTGAATGTCCCACAAGTTTTTGGCTGTCCTGTGGCCATTGATGCTCAGGTAAACACCACCACTACTTGTGAACTTCACAGCATTACTAAGAAGATTTATCTGTAAAAAGCTGTTGTGATATGCATATTCAGCAGAAATTCTCTCACCAGGATTTGCCTGATTCGAATCAAGTCCGCAAGAACAACTTTCGGGACCTGCGTATACATTGTAAGTCGAAGTGGAGGCAAATTAAGCCAGGCCTTACAGTTTCCGTGATGGAGTATGTCAATTCAAGAGACTTGATAGCTGCTAGAGGAGAAATGCTATCAAACGTCTCCTCAACGCAGCGTGTTAAGTTAACTGGCCTGAGCTCAAGTTCCATTTTACCAGCCTCGATTTTGCTGCAACACTAGAAACGTAAGAAGGAATCTAAACTTGGTTGCCAACCTATAATCAAGAATATCGTTTATAATTCCAATCAATGCTTCTCCACTGTGTCGGATAGTAGAGGCGTATTCATGTTGCTCATCTGTAAGTGCAGTTTCCAAAAGAAGTGTACACATTCCGATCACTGAATTCATTGGCGTCCGGATCTCATGGGACATGTGAGCCTGCAAACGATTTAGTTCACAGAATTGACAAAAGAAGCTCCATACCAGAAACGTAGCTTTAGCTTGAGCAGCCTTCTCCGCATTATCCCGTGCTTCTCTAAGAGCATCCAGTGTCTCGTACTCTAACGTCTTGTCCAGAGCAATGCCAGACCACTCAGTTGTTCCATCATCCAGCAGCTTCGGGGCAGCATGTACTCGAACCCAGTGATGACGATTCGATTCAACACTGCACGAAATCTTGTTTGTCAGTCACGCTTGAAAATCTTTTCCAAGCAGGTACCGAAAATGACAATCAAAGGGGGCTCCTGAAATTTGAGATTCGAGCATCTGAACTTTCACATCATCCCAGTCATCACGAAGCACTGTCATTCCTGCGTGCACAGGATAAAAACAAGTCCGCAAGTAAGCTACCAATAGCTTACCGAATGCCCTTCTCTCACTAAAAACATCAGTAGCAGAATCTGAGAAACAAGTAATCAGCATCTTTGAACTATCTGACTACAAATCTGACCTTTAGTGTGGCCGCTAAGCATATCAAGTGCGCCTTTACTCATGAATGGGAAGCATTCTTTACCTTCCTTGGTGATTCGGTAGGAGAAAACACCCCCTGAACATTCCGACTGTTATCCTGAAAATTATGGTGCTGTCCAAACCTGGAATCAAATCCGTGATTCTGTTCTGAAGAAAAAAACCCATGGTTAGCTCGTGTGAAATGCACGAAAGGCCTTGCCTGCGAAGTTCTTGCTGTGACTCTCGCAGCTCCTCCTCTGCAAGCTTGACGCTGGTTATATCTTTTCCAGCCGCAAATGTCAGGCTTGCTGTCCATAAAATCCACTTGTACGTGCCAGTAGCGTCGATAACAACTGGGCCAGTTGGCTACGATGGAGAACAAGACGGAATGATCAGACATTCGAATAAACAAGAGAAGATATACGTTTTCACCACAGCGGTAACGGTTTGCGAAGTTGATGACAGTATCTCCGTCTTTCAAAGCCTGAGCAGCAACCCGCGTACGCTCGAAGTCATCCACATGCACAAAGTTCATATATGGCTTGGACTTGAAATCCTCGTAAGTGTATCTGCGATGTCCTTTTAACGAGCCTAGACCAAAATAAAATGAACTTACCCAAGTGTTTCTGGAAAAGCGGGGCTGATCTTATCAAAGAAGGTACCATCTCCACTCCAATTGACCAAAAATTCGTGTGGAAGCGTCCAATAATTCAGGTACTTTTCTTCTATGGTTTTCCTGTCGTGAATATCAACTCTCCACCCAACAAAACCAAGGAGCTCTCCGCTGACGGATAGCCTCGGCTTGGCTATGTCAAGTATCCACCGGTACTGATTCGTAAAAATCTGCACACAAGCAAGAGAAACGAGAAATGAGTAGAAACCCACACTTTGCCATACCTTCAAGCGGTATTCCATCTGGAACGGTGTCTTCGTCGCCGGCGCCGACGAAACAACCTCCTTGCACTGTTTGACATCGTCTGGATGACAAGAAAGCGCCCATTCCCTACCATACAAAGCATCTAAACTTGGATCTACCAGGTCGAGCCACCTCTCGCTGTCAAGCTGGATGTTCTTTCCACACATCCATGCAACAGCTGGCAGTGTTTTCTCCGATGAGTAATAGGCGGGCGACGACGTAGACGGTGTCGACGGCGTGTTCCTGGCGGGAGGGTCGGGGTAAACTGGAATGATAACCGGTTTTGGTTTCCTCACGAATGTCTGCACCGGAGTACTTGTATCGCCTGTTGCATGGTCGTCTTCAGGGATCACGAACTCTGTTGTACCTTCCGCAGCCAGTCTCCTTACATAGAGTGGGCTTGGTGTTGTTGAGCCGGTTCCAAGAGGACTTAGTTCGAAGCTGCTGGTTGGAGAAGTCCCCTTTGACCCCACAAGCAAAGGATTGCCGGAGGAGCATGAGCTCGAAGTCGACTGTCCGGAGTCCGATTTAGGAGATGGCTGAGCTGATGCCAAAACTTCACCTTCCTCACTGGTTGACGACCTGACGTTGGACTTTGCCTTGTTGAATTCTTTGGAGCTAAGATCAGTGCTTTTTGTTTTCCTGAGCTTGTTTGGTGGCCGTGACGTGTCCCTGGCCTTCGGCAAAACCTTGTCGAGACTAGCGTTGGAGCTGTTTCTTCCTCCCGAGCACTTCTGAGTTCCCTGCTCACCTTGCAGCACAGCATCTGATGGCCCTCGAAGGACGAATGTGAACACGAAACTGCCAAGCTCAAACTTCCCAGCGACGAAGCCGACCGCAAAAACAAGAACTATCAACCACGCGTTCCCCTGAATGTCATTTAGTCCTTTGCAAACGTAAATGCACGAGTGAACACACTCTTCCGGTCCCCACATTCTACCCCGAGATGCAGAAGCACTGCCATACAAAACAAAAGGAACAAGATTTGCAAAAGTATGCCCACCTCAATGTGTGGATATTCATTCACGTTGCGAACAGGCATGGACGAGGAATGGCGAACGCCAACCGACCGTCCACGTGGCCCTATAACCGATGGTTTAGAACGACAAAAGCTCGTGCAAGAACTTGTTCACGTCCCCGTTTTTACAGTCGAAAGCTACCAGCTGGTCTACAAGTTCCTGCATCGCCACAACAAGAATTACGAACTTCTAAGGAAAAATGATCACCTGATATTCACGATCCCTGGCAACAATTTTTGGAACTTGAAGACGATGGATAGGTTTGCCCATCTTCATGGACTCCAGTATCTCTGCTGCTCTGTTGATTATTTCATGAGGGACACCTGGTGCAAAACCTTTTAGAAAAGTCGTGGTAAAAGCTACAGCCACGTACCAGCAAGTTCAGCACAGTGAAGGCCTGAGTTAAAAAACAAATGTAAGCATGGATGAAAAAGAAAACCTATATTACCGTAGCTAGGGGCCTGGTATCCCGGGACAAGTCTGCAGCTAAATATTTCAAAATTTGAATCAAAGAGATAGGCTGATTACCTGTAAAGAAAGACGATATCTGCCAGTCGGTTGGGGTCGCCATTGTTGCCTGTCGGTTCTAGGATGCTCATCGTATAGAAAGCTATCCTTTGCGACTGCAAAAAGATGTTTACAACACGCTAAGTAGAAAAGCGTTTCACCTTGGGCAGAAAACATCCCTCCGACAATTCACTGAAATGTGTACATGCCAGAATCTAAAATGACAATTGTCAGGAAAGCAGAGGAAAAAAAAAACGGATGAAGACCTTCGGCGAGGATTCAGAACCAGCAAAGTGGTGAAGTGTTGAGCATAGAAGACCAATGCCATCTACAAAAACAAATCCCATTGTTTCCCTTTTTTTTTTTTTCGCGTCAATCGCATAATACCTGCAGACATTGTGCCACTGCCAAACTCGTCAATTAAGCATAGCGACTTTGAAGTTGCATATCTGAAAGAGTTGTTTATCACCCCGCAACACATAAAAATGAATGCTTACCTTAGCATTACTGATATTTGATGGAGGTCAGTCATAAAAGTTGACTGAGGAACCTTGGTAGATTGCTTGCATGGCAACCGAGTAAAGATTCTGTCTGTAATGCCGATCACTGCCTCGTCTGCCGGCACAAAGCTCCCGATGTGTGAAAGGAAGACAATAAGCGCAACCTGCGGACTTAACAGTCAGATTAGAAAAAAATACATAAGTGACTGCTCTAACTTACTTGCTTGATGTAGACGCTTTTCCCGGAGTAATTTGGACCAGTTACAACACAAATTCGTCCTGTAGACAAAGAAATCAGCATCAAACAGACACATATTGTCCAACCTTTCTCTTCAATTTGCGTGTTGTTTGGAACAAACGTATCGACTGTCAGTTCTTGTAAAGGATGCCTGACAATTTTTTCCAAGTTTTAGAGAGCAGATCCCTGTTTTGTACCTTCCGTTCTTTATTATCAGTATGTCATCTTCAACGAGTCGAGGTCTGTTGTAGTTATACTCGCCTGCGCTTATTGCCATTGATACGAGACTGTATTAAGGTAGAAATAAAATAAAAAGATAAATGATTTGCTAGATAAGAACTCAAGCTACCAATCCAGCTGCGCAGTCAAGTCCGCTGAATATCTAACTGCGGGTTCGTACTTTTGCACTTTAGACTCCAGCTCCTTCAAAATGGCGCGTTCCATATCTGAAACATTTAGAAAATAACCGTGAACGTCACAAATACCAAAGTGATTACCCAGAATTTTGTAGTAAATATCTCCCAGCACCTCGTCTAGTTCCCTGGTTTTGGTTGTGTGATAGAAAAATTCCTCGTCGTTGCCACACCCACTTTTGAACTGAGAGTCGTTTGCCTAAAGTCAGTTCAAACAACCTCTAGCGCGCTTACAGCGAGTTGGAAGTCTGGAGCTATCTCTAGCACTTCTGGCTTAAGCTCGCCAGGGAAACACATCAAGTACCCTGTTTTACCAACCAGCAGCTGTGGAAAGAAACTAAAAAGCTGACTGACCAACTTGTGGAATATAGACTATGGAGCCTTGTCTCTGATGTGGTAACTTTTTAATCTCCGATGATGCAATCTGAGAAAAAAGGAATCAGATTCAGCAAGTAGCTTGCAGCTATTGCCATACCTCGTCCAGGAATTGTGGAAGACCGTCGTAGATTGCTTTCAACTCATCTAGCTACGAAGAAAAGAAAAGTAAACGAGGGGCTCCCACAGAAGAAACAGCTTACTTCTTGACATATACCACGCGCGACAAATGTATCACAGGCCTCGCCACAGGTTTGATCAAAATCAAGAACTCCCTTGACCTTGAAGTCGATGTGTCAAAAACTATCAAAATTTAGTGACCTTACCAGGTCGCTAACATAAGCAAAATCTTCCGTAACGGTTGAAAACACCTGCAATGCATTCAAACCGTCAATGTAGGCAATCAAATTATCTACGGCAAACCTTTTGAAATATCTCCAGGTTGGAGATTTGCACTCTGTCTTGCCGGCTTGAAAGAAAAGCTGCTAGAGTTTGCCTGATTTCAATAAGTGCATTGATGCTCTGAGAGACGGATTTGTTAACAAATAATCAAAAGTGCCACACTGATTCACGAACTTTTAGAAACGTCGACCAGTCCGTACGACTTGAAAGGAAGCTCGGTGATGCAAACTTCTGAAACGAAGGCATGAGGCAGGAACAAAAAGGATGCAGCCTCTTACCTGCAGCAACCGCGGAATACTTTTCACTTGCTTCATTGTGTTTTGCAGCAACTGAGTTAGATCATGTGATGACTTCAGGACCGATATCTTTTTCTCCGTCAATGACTCGAGAAAGCGAAGGCCCACAAAGGATACAGTATCCAAACGGTCGTTCAATGCAGCCCAGTCGAGTATAGGTCGGGAAAACCACGTCCTGCCAATATTCGTATGGATAACTTATAGACGAGAATCTTGGAAGTACCTCAGTAGCCGTCTTCCCATTAACGTTACACACTGAAATCCAGGAGTCAGTGCCTGTTGTAAAGAACTGCAAAGTACCTTATTCATCATACCGAAGACGGAAAACCTGATAAACTTTATTATGTTAGACTATGAACGTTCCTCTCGCCATGTCTACCCTTCTTTTGGTTTGCCGATTCCCATGTGGCTGGGATGCTTGTCGACTTGAAAAACTTGTAGTGCATCGTAAGTCGTCGCGTCGAGATTCAAAAATCCATTCCTAGAACAATAAAATATAAGGCATTGGAAAATGAACCGAAAGAGGATACAGGGACAGCTCCGACACGTTGAATATGCGCAATCTCGAAACGCCATCCTCGGCATCTGACGATTCAGGCATCAGCTCCTGCTGTAGTATCGCTATGAGCGCACCAGCAGCACGAACTTGCATCTCACTCTCGAGATTCATCAAAGTGTTCAGCTGCATTGGCATAGAGGTCTCGTCATTACAGATTCACAAAAGACTTGAGACACTCACATAATGGATTCTCTCCTTTTGCGGCAAATCACGATGCATTCCACGTAGCTGGAGCTGCATTAGCCTGTACAAATGTCAGCAGGCTAAAATCGAATTTCTTATCATCCATCCTAACCTGTGCCAAGCTTGCTCGTAACTGAAGTAAGAACTCTTCACAAGCTTTACCTCCGCACCTTGTGTCTCCTCGTCAACTGCAAATCACAAAAACAAAGTCATGAAATGCAAAAGAGAAAGAGAAACAAACACGATAAGAAGCCACCTTGCTTTCGAAGAGAGCCAATAAAAGACTCTTCCATTTTTGTGCTGGTATAGATGATCGCCGGCTGTGCTTGGAACTTAACTGCGTCAAGCATAAAACCCAAATCGCGGAGCTCTCTACAAAAGTCGCTAAACATCATACCGAGCTGGACGCAAGGATAGTCGGCATTTTCCTCTTCCCAGGCATCCATCACATACAAAGTGGCTGAATCGAGCTCGTAGTACGCGGCGCCAAGCCTGAGAGGGGAATCAAAACAAAGATCGAAGAGGAAAGAGGAATCCACACCGGTTGCCTTGTAGAATGCACGTCATGTACACCTGCGCCTTTCGCAAGAATCGAGCGCGTCAGTGGGCGCCGGGACGTGATCTATCGATCGAGAAAGAATGTAGGCTACCTGATCCTCCTCTTGCTCCTCCGCCGCCTCGCCCTCGCCCCCCTCGGGCTCCATCGCTGAGAAGAAAATAGAAACCTAGGTTTAAACCTTCCCTCGCATTGTCGATTTTAAACTTCATAGACGTCGTGATTTCTTTCTCGCAACGCTCCCACGCTCAACTTCGCGAAGTTCTCCAAATGGCTATGGTATCCCTTCGATTTTCGCGATTCCACGGCGGCCGTGACGACTACTCTTGGAGTCTCTCCAGTGGCTCACAGATGGAGAACACCCTCTTCACGATCGCTTCGTATCGCAGTTTCTTCTCCAAGTAACTTATCAAATAAATTTTATGAAAATTAGATCTATACGAATTCTTATGAAAAAGTCTTATAATAATTTTTCAGCTGCAATGATTTAATTAATGGTATTTGATAACTAACCATCAGGAAGAAATGAAATAAAGATGAGTGAAAAACAAAATGATAGAAATAGAATTAGCCACTAATAGAATCATCCCTTTTGTTTTTCCTCTAATTGGATTTGATCCTGCAAAGATTAAAGCATTTTTAATCAGCCATTTTTCACTGTACTCCCTTTTCTTTTATACTAGTCTCATGGCTTGGAATAATCTGTTCATGCATTTCCAGTCAACTGCTTCCGGCTCAAATGGCATGTTGTAAAACAAATCCCTTGCAGCCTCGATGTAGTTGGCTCTCATGAGAAGATCTAGCACACAGCAGTAAACTTCCCTCGTTGGAGCAATACCAAAGTCACAAACCATGCACTGCAAGTATTTCCAAGCAGTGTAGACATCGCCGCCATGGTTGCATCCAACCAAGATGGAAAGGAGCGTCGCAATCTCAGGCTCGACTCCCTCCACCACCATCGTGTGTACCAATCTCAAAACCTCGCCAATAAATCCAACCTTCGCATTACCCGCCACCATTATATTCCACGACACAGAGCTAAGCTTTGGAGCTCTAAGAAACACGGCCTGGGCATATTCGAGGCATCCATTACCAACATAGGCAGCCAGAAGAGCATTCCATAGTGCCTGGTCTTTATACGAGAACCTATGAAACAAAGACACGGCTTTGTCAAGATTCCCGGACTGGGAATATGCCGAGAGCATGACAGTACAGGAGACAAAGTCTGAAGGCAGTATTTCATATACTCTAATGGCATCTTCAAGATGCCCATTTCGGGTATATGCCAGAAGCATGTTATTCCAAGTGACGGAATCCCAGTACGGCATGGAGCTGACAAGTACGGTAGATTCCTCTACAGCGCCATGCATTTCATACAGAAGCAACATTGTGTTACAAGCCACTGTATCGTGCATTTTCATGCCAGAAAACAAAGATTTTGCATGACCAAGATACCCGATTTGGGTATAAGTTTTCAAAAGAACATTCCATGAGAACATATCTCTGGCAAGCATAGAATCAAAGAAGCTCTTTGCATCACAAGCTTTTGATGTTCTCGATAATGTTTTTAGAATGGTGTTGTATGACACCAGTGCCCATTCGCGCAACGAATCAAACAAATCTTTTGCCTGATCGTAGCTTTCATTTGCTGCCATTAGAGTATTGCAGCAAACCACGTCCCACTCCGGCATGTCATCAAACAAAACCTTCGCATTATCGAAACACTTCGCATTTACAAATGCGGCAAGCATCGCCGTATGTGAGAAGATATCCCACGCAGGCATTCCAAAAGATTCGCTCGGATTCTCGCAAATGCCCAAGCCGGGCATAATGCGCCGAGAAGGCAATTCCACGCAACTAGACTGGGATCCGGCATTAGGTCAAACGTTTTCTTAGCTTATTCCTTCCGTACGCGGAGATCATGAAAACCCACGGCTCATTGGATTATAAAGTTCAAAGTTTGAAGCTAGGTTGATCCATAATACAGCATTTTACCCCCATGGCATTCTGTTTGATCGATCTCGTCTTGGTGCTTTTGGCCATCTTCCATGGTACAAGCGCCCTGTGTCCTCCTGATAATCATTTTGAAAACTCATGCCAAAATATCAAGTACAACGGCTGTCAGCTTGTTGCAACTTGTCCTGATAGGAATGGTGTGCGGAGGGTGAGCAGCCTGGATGTGAACACTTGCATCAGCAACAACGGAGGGTCCTTGAACTGTGGCCACGGTTTCCAAGCGACATGCATGAATGTAAGGTGCTACTATGTTACTCCCAGGGCCTACATCAATGCTGAGTGTGCTAAACCCAACGGGGTATACATGTCCACCACAATAAACGTTGGCAATTGCATCAAGAACAACGACGATGTGCTTGCATGCTGCTAAGCAAATGTCTAGGTAGCCATAAAATATGAGCAAATCCTAATAAAAATAGATTCATATGTTACAAGAATGATAACTGTGATTGAGTATTGTCATCCTGCTAAGTACTACCAGATACCATGTACCAGAAGCAGTATGGTTGTATGTATGTAGTAACATGTTGTGCGACACTTAGTGAGGTTGAGAGCGTGGATCGACCTTTTGAGGTAGTACTTCTCAAAAACAAGATTGTGGATCTGCGAGGAGAGCTCCCTGGCGACCATAGAGAGGGGGATTTGGAACTCTACAGATGTCCTGTGCCTCAATCACTCGCATCGCGTTGTTTTTTATTTCAGTGCTACAATTTGCCACTGCCTGTTAAGGCGGTCAATGGGCCAGGGCTTGCCCGTTGACCGCTATCGCCGGGCTTGCACCTTAAATGCGGTAATGCGCTCGTCCTGGCCCGCTAACAGCCTTATAGCTGGAATCCACGCTGTTAAATCCCACCAGTGTGCAACAGTGGCCGAGATCCATAAGAACGCTTCCCAAAAACGAATTGATGACAAGTTTCTAAACGCTTTGCATGAGAAACGATCGAGTGAGAAAAAAACTCCCAGGTTTTACTCATGTAATAAAAAAATGCCATGCTGCCGATTCTCGTCGATACAATGTTATTGGATGCTCTTCCCCTTCTTTGTTGACTTTAGCATGTGAGAGATTTTATATGGTTTGGTTAAGTAAGGAGAATATGGTTGGAATTTCTGGCAAATTCCATTGTGTTATAAATTATAAACATGTTTATTTAGACTTTCTGAAACATATAAATTTTATAGAAATCTTAATAATTTATAAACTTTCTGAAAACTTGCCTTTGGGCTGGATGCAACCATGGCCGCCTCTCTACGTAATTGGCTCTCATGAGAAGACTCGTTGAAACAATACCAAGGGTCGCAAACCATGCGTGTGGTAATAATAAGAAGGATTATAAAGCCCATTTCCAATGTATAACCATGCCCGCCACCATTATATTCCACGAAGCTTTGCTTGGCCTGGTCTTTCTGCAAGAGCATACGAAACAAAGACACGGCCTGGTCAAGATTCCCGGAATCTTTTGATGATCTCGATAATATGTTTAGAATGGTGTTTGTATGACATAAGTGTCCACTCGCGCATCGAATTAAACAAATCATTTGCCTGCTTTCATTTGCTGCCAATAGTATGTTGCAGCAAACCACGTCCCACTCCGGTATGGCATCAAACAAAACACTTAAATGCGGCAAGCATCGCCGTATGTGAGAAGATATCCCACGCAGGCATTCCACAAAAGATTCCCTCGGATTCTCGCAAATGCCCAAGCCGGGTATAACGCGCCGAGAAGGCAATTCCACGCAACTAGACTGGGGTTCGGCATTAGATCAAACGTTTTCTTAGCCTGGACGAGAAACCCATTCTTTCCGTACGCGGAGATCATGAGAACCCACGAGTGAGAGTCTTTGGGAGAGATTCCCGCAAAGGTCTCCTCGGCGCTCTCGATGCTCCCACACCTGCCGTACATCTCCACAAGGAGATTCGAGAGGTAGAGCCGCGAGCTCAGCACGAGAGACTGCCGCGAGAAGACCCAATCGTGAATCTCTCGAGCCCGGTTCAAAACCGAATGAGCTCGACCCAATCCTTGAGCGTCTCAGCAGCGGTAACCATTCAGGCCAGGTAAGTGGCATCCCGTTGGAACGAGCACTGTAAAACGGAAGGAGTCGAGTTAAAAGTTAATATCGTGATCGACACAGAAACAAAACTTTGTGGCACCTTGTTGGTTTTTCTCGTTCGAACGAGCACCTGCAAAAACGCAAGGATCGAGTTAGCTGTGATAGAAAACTGAATATCACATACCGGCAAACTTGATCGACACAGAAACAAAACTTTGTAGAATCTCGTTGGTTTTTCTCGTTCGAACGAGCACCTACAAAAACGCAAGGAGTCGAGTTAGCTGTGATAGAAACGTTAGAATCACATCCCGTAGCAACTCTTCCCTTCCAAACAAAACTTTGTGAGTAAATGCACTCGAATCAGACAAACTTACGTGAATCCAAATTCCGTACATCTCGATGCCAGGGAACGGAGTGTTGTCCGGGAGGCCAAGCTTTTGTCCTTGAAGCTGATATAACTCCTCCATGTTCGTTCCTCTGCTGCGTATCTTATTTAGCGCCAGGCAATTCAGTTTTGTCGACCTTGAAATGCACAATCTTTGATATCCTACATTCTTTCTTCGTAATGGAAACGGTTCCAGTTGAACCTGGAGATACATAGAACGAACGACCAGCTGTCTTTGTAAATACGAAAGAGACCACTTACTTACCTCATTTGAGGATTGGAGAGAGCTGAGCTGAGCTGCCAATTGTAAAGGTCGGTCCTGATATTGCGCATGGTGACGTTGTTGTCACACAGAGCCTTCCACAGCTCTCTGCATTCAAGGCATCTGTTGAGACGTCGTCCATACCATGGCATCGCGCTTGTGTTGCACGCGCTGAACGCATTCAAGCTCGAGTTTGCTTTCTACCTGGAAACTTTGCAGCCATCCAACCGGCACCTCATACAACGCCTCAGATGGTTTTTGTGTTGTCAAATTGCATACACTTTTGTCTCCTTCATGGCGCGAATGTAATGCTCTCGGGGCTTTAAGAGACCTCTAGCAAGTTCGACGGTTCCAGTTGAGCAATGGCTTCTCGGTGCTTTCATCCTTCTGTGTATCTTGATGGTTGTTCTGAATTCTCTGCCCCTGGTCCCTGCGAGTATACAGCACCGAAGCTCCAGATAGAATTAGAACAGGAAGAGCGCATACCCCTCTCATCTTTGATTGTCGCAGCTGGAATCGAAAAACGTGAATTGGCGATGGATAACACCTTCTTCCAAACTGAGAGTTGGCAACCGGCGCAATTCGCATTTGGTTCTTCCAATCCTCTGAGCGTGAACTTGGATAGCCTCGACGCTAGAAATCAAGGTAGCTCGTCAGTTTTCCAAGCGATGACAATAGGAAAAGAAGCAGACCTTCGCATTCCCGGGTACAACACCTTGAAAGGCCAGCAGCAGCTTACGACGCGACCTTCAATCTCTTCGTGTCGAAGTCAAGTGCTGGAGAAAGCTCTGGGTGTTCAGCAAAAGTGGCCAGGCAAGAGGCCTCTGGCTCAAAGAGAGAGTCACATCTGGTCCGAGAGAGAGCGTCGCAAAGGGATGAACCGCCTGTTCTGTATACTGAGGTCCTTACTGCCAGAACCAAGCTCGAAGGTAGTCTTCTTCTTTCTTGAAATTCTCTCATCTAGCTGACTGATTCTTCTGTTCCTATTCTTCCGCCTTTCTAGACGGACAAGTCGACCGTCGTAGGAGAGATCATCAAGTATATCAGCTTTCTCCGGCTAAGTATCGAGGAGCTCACCAAGAAGAAGTCCGACATTCTCCAACGAGCAGCAAGAGTTTCTCAGTCCAGCTCTGGTGACTCGGGTGCAATCATCGTAAACCAGCGATCGCAGGAAACGGTCCCTTCTTTTCAAAGCGTTGTCTTTGTCTCAACACCTCTAGTAGCTCTTCACGTGTGCCGCGATAATGTCTTCCTGAACATGACTTGCAGCAGACGAGCTTCGTTGTTCGTGAACATTCTGTGGGCCATGAGACAGCACCAGCTTATACTTCTCAATGCCACTGTCTCCGCCCACGGTAGCCAGATTATCTATTGTATCCACAGCAAGGTACGTAAGATGGTCCGTCACTGAGCAATGCAATTAACTCTATCAAATACCACAGGCCAAGGATATCAATCATTTCGCCCGAGAATCGCTGCACTCTGCTCTCTTGACAATCGCACAGCCGCTACCAAACGTGTACTAAAAAGCGTTGAATGGTGTGTGTAATGTATCATAAGTTTGAACTATTCTCCCACGGGTTCGCTGATGGGAGGTCTATCCATATTTCTGGCAGCTTCTTTGGCGATCTTAGACAGCTCGCTGTCGATGTGAGGCAAATGAGGAATCTGCCAGAAAACAGCGTTAAGAAAAAAAGAAAACGTTAAGTGATTTACTAACCTGAGATAAAAGGTCAATGGTTCGGCGTAGAAGTCTAGCAAAATCGCCTTCATCCATAATGTCTTCGATCTCTAGCTCTTTCCAGTTCACTCCTGCAGCCCAAGCTTCAACGAAGCCCGCAAGCTGTGGATCCAGATCGCATGCAAACTAATGCATGAAAAAGTTTTTAGCAACTGGAAGTAAAGCGAAAATATGGCTTACCTCGACATTGTGATTCTCTTGCAAGCCATATAGCCAGAGTCGTTCAGATTGCATCTTCTCCACCCATTCTTTCACCACAGCGGAGGGCTCGTATATCGTCCTGGAAAAAAGGAACTGGCTAAAGCAACAACGAGATCATAAATCGATACTGACCTGTATTCATTATCTGGAATTGACTTCGGACTTTCAGTGACCAGTGCGGCGGCAACTGCGGCTAGCTCTGATGGCTTTAACGACAACAGAGCTTCATCTCGAAGAGCTATAGCCAGCCAAAGCTCGTTCGATCCACGTATAGCTCGAGCGATTTCACCAAGTGGTAAAAGCTTGTGGGTGTTTCGGTCCATTGCTCCAGCATCTTTCAAGATTTTCACTACCTGGAAAAAACAAGTACGAGTTTAATGTTTTACCATCCTACGTACGTACCTGTAAGAATTCTTTCCATCCTGAAGGCTGCATGCCTTTTATACGCTTCCCTATCCGTTCCAGTTTCGCTTTTAATCGAGCTACTTTCTCCTCCCGCATTTGTTTCACTTTCGCAACAAGATTGTCAATTTCAACTTCGTCAATCTCCGCGAGCCTCCTTGACCATTTTCCAAGGCTTCTTTGCTGCATCAGCAGCAATTTCTCGGCAGTAACAAGCTCCTCCGGCATCTAAACAATGAACTTCAGCTCATGAAAGAAAACGAAAATGCCTTACCGCACATTCACTTGTAAGAGTGTTGGGAACAGGCACTTCATAACCATGTGGAGGAAATGATGATTGACAGCGGGAAACATTATCGTTTCCAACGATTTCCCACTGAACATCGGCGAGATTGCTTTTCAGAGCTGTGCGTTCCTCAGCTCCTATCGTGCTCCTGTAAACTTTCCTCACCACTTTCAAGGGGAAACGATATAAAAAACTGTCACAGCCAACTCCAATAAAGGAAGCATCCATGTCTTCCACCTTGGGTTCGTGATTCTGGGAGACATAATTCACATATGGGAAAGAAAAACAGAAGTATGTACCTCGTTTACTCCCAGGATAAATGGATTGTTTTCTGTCATGTGGAAAACAGCCACAGAAAGCGTATGACCTTCGCCAGTGTTGATATCTTCGTACGTCAGTAAAACATATGGAACTTGCTCCAGTGAAAGTTGTTTAAGCTGACTCTGCAAAAAGGATAGCCTATGCCTCTCAAATTTAAAACGAAGGCTTCGCTCTTTGCGTTCTTGTGTCTGCAAACAGAATGTTACCAACAATATAAAAAACTAGGCTGACATTTACCTCAACTTTCTCACGCATTTTGTTGAACTCGTTAATTTTCTCCTCGTACAGTTTACTAAGAGAATCTGTAGACTGTCCACTTTCTAGTGTCTCGATTTCGGAACTTATTTGAACCATCTTAGCTCTCGCACCCGTTAGAATCTCACTTCCAATATAGTTTCCAAAACTCTGTTCAATCAAGCTTCGTGCTTCTCCAAAGCTTTGGCGTTGTTCACTGGACAGAGTTTCACTTTCGACGGCCGAGTCCTGAGAATGACAAAGACAAACATGAGGAAAAACTTTAGTAGTTAAAACGCACCTCTAGTAAATTCAGAGCCATCCCATATGTAGCTGTGAATTGCGAAACAAGCGGTTCCAACCCTGTTCGTAGCATTTTGTAGCATTCTTCGGGCCCTCTAAATGGTGTTTGGACAACAACTACGTGACCTTCTTTGTCGATTCCTCTTCTACCTGCTCTTCCAGCCATCTGAAGTACGACATTGGCACTAATTCGTCGTTGATACTTTCCGGAAAACGATGATAAAACCGTAGTTCTGGCTGGCATGTTGATCCCGGCTGCCAATGTTTCGGTTGCAAACACCACTTTCACCAATCCCTTTTGAAAAAGCTCTTCAATAAAACTCTTCCACAGAGGTAGGCAACCTGCGTGATGTGCAGCAACACCTTGGTAAAGAGGCCGAACAGCTGCTTCTCTGATGGCATCTGGATATTGCTCTCGAAAAGATTTAAGTGCTAGATCAATCTGCTGAAACTCGTCCTCGGCTAGCAAATTCGCGTGTTGCAAATACTGCACGGCTTCGTCACAGCGCCTTCTACTCAAAATAAACCAAATGGCTGGTAGCATAGTTCGCTCTACCATTTGTTTCAGAGTGTCAGAGATACGAGGAACCTGGCATGAAATGCACGAGTTAGATAATTGTCCAAAGAGTATCGTCAGAAAAACCTGAACACGAAGAAGAACTTGCAGCTGCTCTTCAGTCATTTTCTCCAGCGTGCTGATCCTTCCCCTGATCTTTCTCGAGTTAACTTCTTCCAACTGTTTCTTATCAATGAGAAGCTTCCTGAAAGTTCCTGAGTGTCAAGGCAAACTGATTCAGACTAGACAAAAGAGACAAGCGCAGAGTACCTGTTGATAGCTGTGCCTTTCTCGTTCAGAAGGGGTAACATTTGAGAACGCCTCGAGATATGCCAAGTCAAAGGGACGGGCCTTCTATACGACGTGATGAGCTCCGTTGGTCCATGAACCTTTATCATCAAGGTGTAAGTGTTTGTTTAAAATAAAAATGCCGACATACCTTTGCTATCCATCCTGCTAACTCGTCAGGATTTGCAATAGTCGCTGATAAGCAGACAAGTTTAATCCTCTTTGGACAGTAAATCACCTGCAACTCCAAAGTCAGCAATTTATACTACATTGCAAATATAAAAACCCTTGCCGTTTCCTCCCACACCGTGCCTCGTGTGAGATCACTGATATAATGGATTTCATCGAGCACGACAACATCGAGGTCTTGAAGCACATCCTCATTGCCAGCACTGTGATAAAAATTGGAGTCAAATTCCAAAGCTATCCCAGCATTACTAACCTCAAATAAAACTTGTTACGCATAATCTCGGTGGTCATGATCACAATTGGAGCATCTCGATTGATAGAAACATCACCAGTGAGAAGTCCAACGCTCGAATCACCGAAAATTTTCCTGAAAGAAGCAACTTAAGTCTTTTTTTTGTCCACCGAGAACGTCTTTTCTTACCTGAAGTCTCTGAATTTCTGGTTTGAGAGTGCCTTCAAAGGTGTCGTGTAGAACAACCTCTTGCATTTAGCCAGCGTTGCAGCTGCGGCAGCTTCGGCGATCAAAGTCTTTCCACTGCTTGTTGGTGCACTGACCACCACTGATGATCCTTTAAGAAATCCTTCTATAGCCAAACGCTTTAGATCACCAACACGAATATCTGTGAGTACGAGAGAAAAATAAACGAGCGAATGGATTACCTGAAACTTATCGAGCCGGAAGCTATACAGCCCGATGAGATCGGCAGAAGATATTTGTTTTCCCTGTGCTACCTTGGCGCAGAGATCGTCGATTCTCCTGGCCCTTTCGGCAAAAGAATCCAGCTCCTCGCTAGCATCATCAGCGCCCTCCTCTGCGCCATCGTCCGAAGCGAACCGAAATTCTCCGAAACCAAAATCCTCCTCTTCCCCGGAGGATTCCTCTTCACTCCCATCGCTGCAATCCTCATCCTCTTCGCTAAACGCACCCAGCATTGATTTCTCCCCCTTCCCTGCAATCGCATTCTCATCCCTCACGGCATTTCCTCGCCAATGCCGCGTCAATCCGACAAATCCTCCCCGCCGTAGCAGATTCCCTGCGTACCCTCTCCGCAAGGTACACGGGGCCACGGCGCGGCGAAGAATCGGCGGAGAATGCAGCGTCGAAACCCTGATATCGGGCCCGAGTGCCATAGCTCGCTAGGGTTTATCCCATTCAAATAAATCCTAGGAATATGCTAGCCGTGTATTCTACTACCAGAATATACCTCGCAGTTTACGAGTATATACTTATAAGTTATCTCAGGAACTCTGGTCCTGACTCGTTCTTCCTGTTGGCGTCGAAACCCTGATATCGGGCCCGAGTGCCATAGCTCGCTAGGGTTTATCCCATTCAAATAAATCCTAGGAATATGCTAGCCGTGTATTCTACTACCAGAATATACCTCGCAGTTTACGAGTATATACTTATAAGTTATCTCAGGAACTCTGGTCCTGACTCGTTCTTCCTGTTGGTGATCCCGGACGTACGGATGGCTTGCCGGTTAAACCGAGATCTCGGTGGAGAGACGTACGGAAGCTCCTCCGAGCACTCTCCACTCACTCTATCCTGGACTTGGGCAGCGTATTGGAGGTTCCAGAGCACGTCTTCCATGGATGGCCTGCTCGATGGTTCCTCCGAGAGGCACTTAGCGGCGATTTCCAGCACCGTCGTGAGAGATTCAGCTACGCAGTTGCCGATGATCGCTGGGTCCACGACTTCGTACCGCGGGACGTGCTCGGTTTGAAGCATTTCCTGGAGAGAGATAGGAATTTTTAGTGAGAATTTGGAGGAAGGAAAAGAACTTGCCAGTTCTCGGACTTTTGGATGGACAGACGACTTGGAGTCTTCGATTGTCGGCGGCTTTCCGAGGAGGATCTCAAGCAGGATGAAGCCAAAGTTGTAGACATCGGTTTTATCGGATGCGAGCTTTCTGAAAAGAAGAACGGACGAGCTCGTTTTACATTGAAAACAAAACAATCCTTAGCTTACCTGCGATGGTGATCCAAGTCTATGTGAGCCGGAGTTTTCTGGACGTAGACCTTCGCCTGTGGACGACGAACCCGTAAACGTCAACATAAAAGAAGGGAAGCCGTCACACTTACATCGAAATCGCATGAAGTACGTGCATGCTTCCCTATACCGAAGTCCGTGAACTTCGCTACGCAGTTTTGATCCATGAGAACGTTGGTAATGTTCACGTCGTTGTTAAAAATCCCAGGAACAACACCAGTGTGAAGATACTGAATTCCTCTCCCAGCACCGATCGCAGCAGCTAATCTCTGTGACCAGCTCAAAACCTCCCGACCCTCCGCCTCTACAGGTAAATCCGAAAAGCAAAACATTAAGCCCAGCAATCCTGTGACGAACTTACTTGAGAGATGGTTACGGAGAGTTCCATTGTCGATGTACTCGGAGACAAGATAGAGCTTTCGGCACTGCCTCGCTCCGTCGATCACATTGTCCAAGCTGTAGCCAATGTACCCCACCAAATGCCTGTGGCGGATCTTGACGAGCAGCTCAACGTGGATCTTGAGTTGCCTCATGTCTTGTCTGGAATCCAGCGTGAGGCACTTGACGGCAGCCACGGTCCCGTCATGGAGTTTGCCTTTGAAGACTTTCCCGTGCTGGCCTTCGCCGATGAGATTCTCCAGACTAAAGTTGGCAGTGGCTTCCTCGAGCTCGGGAACTGAAAAGACTCGGTTGTGAGAAGTGGAGTGGACACCCAAACGTATAGACTGTGAGAGATATCCTGCAAAAATCGAAGAAAACAAAACGTATAAGCTCGAATCGATCGAAACACTCCCTAGAAAACCATATGAAAGAAGCAAAGGAACCGGCGTTCATGCAAAGAAGAAACAACATGAGCTTACAAACAAGTCCAACCAAGAACACAACAAAAGAAAACAATCATCAAATCCAAGTTCTGGAAAACTGAAAGAAGCCGAAGAAGGTAAAGCTCGACAAAAACCGCTAAGAACACAATCAAAGTTCATGAAAAGAATGAGCTTGCAAACAAGTGAATCCGACCAAGAACACAAGGAACGAACACAATCGTCCAATGCAAGTTCTAGAAAAATGAAAGAAATCGAAGGAAGTGTCAAACAATGCAAATCAGAGAAAGATCTAGTTCTAGAAGGATGCTTACTTGCATTGGAGAGAAGATCCGAGGGGACGCCAATGGACGCCGTGTCCGCGCACGAAGAAGCGGCATACTGGACGGGCTTGTCATCCTTCTGCTGCCTCAAGCATCGAAGTAGAACACACAAGAACACCGCCACCGCCCCAACCAGCGCAATCCCACCTCCCACAATCCCAGCGATGATCGCCAGGTCGTGAGAATCCGGCGTGCTGGCCGCCGCCGCCGACGCCGCCGCCCTCTTCCTCGCCGCGGCATCGCAGTGCGATCGCGTGTACTGCTGCTGCACGCGCGTCGCGAAGCAATTCTTTCCAAACCTGACCACGACCGATCCGCCGCTGCCCAGGAAGCTCGCCGGCACGCGCCCCGTGAAGAAATTCGAGGAGAGATCGAGCAACGCCAAGCTGGGGGAGAGGGAGAGGTTGTAGGGCAAAACCCCCAAGAACTGGTTGCCATTGAGCGCCAGCGTCTCAATGTGGCCCAGCCGGAAGAGTGCCGCCGGCGGCATGCCGTGGAGCTCGTTGTACGATAGGTCCATCGTCCGTACACCGCCGAGCCGCGCGGCGGCGTCGTGCGGTATGCCGCCGGTGATATCGTTTTGCCCGAGGAGGAGGGACTGTAAGAGGCCGCCATAGCCGAGCTTGGGGAAGGAGGGGCCGATGTGATTCGCCCCAGCATTGAAGTAGACGAGGAGGCTGTCGGAGCTCCAATCCGGGAGATTGCCCGAGAAATCGTTGTGCGAGACCACCAATCTCTCGAGGCGATTCCTCCGCGACGAGAAGAGCGACTTGGGCAGCTTGCCAGTGATCGCATTGTTGGAGAGGTCGAGCTCGCGGAGGCTGCGCAGCTCGCCGATCCATCCAGGCAGCGTGCCATTCAAGCGATTGTCCTTGAGCTGGAGGATCTCGAGGCGCGAGAGCGCGCGGAGGCGGTCGGGCAGGGCGCCGGAGATGGAATTCTCGCTGAGATCGAGCACCCGGAGGGATTGGAGATGGTCGAGCTTGGGCGGGATGGATCCCCAGAGGCCGAGGTGGACGAGGCCCAGGATCTCGAGCTCGGGCAGCGCCGAGAGGAGATTCCCCAGCGTCTCCATGGAGAAATCCCGCGAGAGGCTCGTGGCATTGCCCAAGATCTGGATGGAGACGATGGTGGAGGAGAAGGAGCCAGCGCTGGAGTTGCAGGAGAGATTAAACACCAGCGATGGAGGAATCCCACACAAATCCAGGCCCTGGGTAGCGTTGGAATCGATGTGGGCGAGCGCGGATGGGTAGCCCAGCAGCCGCTGGAGGCGAAGAACACTCTGGATTTGCGATGGCGGCAGCGATGATCCTTCCACTGCTAGGACGAGCAGCAGCGCTACCACTGCTCCAATGGATCCAGGAATCGAAGGACCCATCTGGATCTTAGGAGGACGCTCGCGCTGGAATCGAGAGTACCTGCATTGTCCCCGCGGCGATCGAGAAACCAATCGCTCCTCACGAGAGCTCCGCCTCCATTCTAGAGAATCATCGCTAGAACTATCGTTGGAACACCAATGCGAGCTCACTCCTATCAGCGTCACGCCGCCTGGCTCTCACAGAGACCCTCCTCGACAAGACCTACGTGGCAGCTAGCGTGTCTAAAACGTCAACAGGGCTGGCGTGGCAGCTGGCGTGTCTGCCAGCGTGGCTGGCATCGCATTTGCATGTTGCGTCCGAATTTACCATGCACGTGATTTCACCAGCGGGATGGTAAAATTTTGCTTTTTTTTTCTCCATTTACTATTTACCAACTATTTCACATCATGGCTCCAAGCAAGCTATGTCGCCAATGTCGCCAAGCACATGAATTGCCTCATCCTCTTTTATATCCAAAAGAGCAAATTTTTCTCGCAGGGGGATTGAGTGCTTCACGCCAGGAAGAAAAATTCGTTAGCCAATTAGTCCCACCATCAAACAAGATCCACTTGAAGTGAAGATTGCGGGAAAAAAAAAAAAAAAAAGAAATCCAAGATATGTCAAAAAAGAGAGCCAAAATCAGCAGCACCAGCTGCAAGGACCTATCACAAAAATAATAATAATAAAATGAAAAATGATAGAAAACTAAAAAGAAAATGTGAAGCAGATCATTTCAAGCAGTAAACCTTGTCCTGGAGCATTAAGTTTGAGCTGAAAAGACAAGTCACCGTCTGGCTGACCGATTGAAACATATCTTTGGAACAAAAGCGCGCTTGAAAGATCTGTGCGTGACACCAATCGGAGTGAATTAGGCCACTCCAACGCCCTGACACGGGCACAAGCTCTCAATTCCATCGCTCGCTCTTTTCTTTTCTCTCTCGATCGGCGGGATTGACTGAATCGCCGCTTAGTCCTGCAAACCACGAGAAAACGAAAACAAATCAGCTGACAAAGCCACACAAAAAAATCCCGAAAGTGTGTAGCTGAGCGCTTGCAGGGCCATCTGGCTAGCAACGACGGATGCTTAAAGACACTGTCGCTCGAGTAAAGGTCCCGTCACTTGGATGGCTTGGATGGCTTGGATGGCTTGAATGGCAGAGCCCTCTCATCGTCACCAAGCTCCAACTTATTCCTTCGCCCGAATTGTTCGCTAAAGCGGAAGTAAAAGAGAAATTTGCCTACTGGTGGGAGCCATGACTGTGCGTGCATCTTTGCTTGATACCGTCACCCCTGCAATGCGTCCGGCAAAGTTATCCAGTCGCTTTCGATTCTCGTTCGAGGAGATCATCCGAGGTTTGGTCGTCCAAGTCGTGATTTGTACTAAGATCCCGCGGTTTCTCTCATCGACGAGAGAGCTTCGTTGTACAAAGGCACAATCACACGGTGAAAACGAAAGCTAAAGACTGAGAGCAACCGATCCTGACCAAAGTGATCATCGCAAAAGAAACCTTGTTTTGATTAACATCTTTCCGTTTAGTAGTAGTCCTTGCCAAGGCCCAGTATACCACTTCCGTTGGTCGTTCTAACAGCAAAATGATTAGCACGAAAACTAGAAAGAAAGACGAGCAAAAAGCTCAACCTGGGGATTCCCAAAGCCCGCTGACCATCAATCCTCTCCTCCTGATCGCCGAGAAAAATCGATCAATTCCAGTTAAGTGATCATCACAAGAAGTACAGAAAGATAGAGATCTCTGTACCTCATCGCCACTTGGCTGCTGGATAACGACAGAAGTTTTAGTGAGAGCCAAAGAACATTTCTTGATTTTCCCATGTTGTTCAACCTTGTGAGATCCTCCAGATACTGTAATGAAACTCACAAGTGTCCGAAACATAGCAGATAGAAAAAACTATGAAGCTGGAGCGACTAGAAAACATAACAGCTTGCCAAGAGCTTCACCACGAGAAACGTCTGACGACCTTGACAAAAACTACGAAGACCATCGTGACCACACTCAGTCCGATCATGTTGAGCTTGATCTGGAAGATCAGGGACAAGAACAATGTGTTTGGCCACGCTAAGGAAAGCTATGCTTGAATTCATGTGATGCGAAGGTACCACATTGTGTAAACAAAATACACCTTAGTTACCACAGTCAGCATCGAAGAGAATTTGCTCCGGATCTTGGTTGTATGCGAATTTGAAGGCTTCAATCCAGTAACTCCGATCCTTGATGGCTTCGCAGACAGAATCTGCGAGGTCCACCTCGTGTGCTACCCAATTGCCTGCGCTTCCTCCTTCCTTCAGAAGGCGAAGTAAGCCTGCACACACCAAACATTAGAAAAGAAGCTAAAACTAAGACAAAAAGCAAACCTTCTGACAAGCCGGGTGGCGGATCAACGGCATCGAAGTACTCGCTCCAAGTCTCGTTGTGTTCCGGTGCTCGATCCATTGCTTCTGCAGCTTTCTTTCGAGCTTCCTTGATGACGATTCGTCGATGGAAGTTCCCGAATCTCCTCAGCCGCCGAGACACATCTTGATAATCCTGCTGGAGACGCTCATGACTCTGCTTGAGACCCTGAAGCTCCTTCTCAACCAGCTCGAGCCGGTTTTGAAGCTCCGAGACTTCCTTTTTGAGGCTCTCGTTCTCCTGTTTTAAGCCCCCCTCCTCTTGCAAAACTCCTTCATGCTCACCCTCTACGATCTTCTCGCCGTCCTCCATCACCTTCTTGCCTTTGCTCTTCTGCCAAAGAAAGAAGAAACGAATGTTAATCTTGTCAAGACAATCAAGCTTCTCACCTCATCGTTAACGGATGAGGAAGATTTTCGAGTTGATCCTTCTTGCTCCAGCATATTTAACTGGTTTTCAGCAGCTTGCAACTTCCCAAGGAGTCCCTCGTCCTCCCTCCCGGCCGCTGTATAAACCATGAGGAACCCATTCCGGGTCCACTCGTCCAGCCTGTAGAGCTGCGTCGGGGACTTCATGATGCCAATGGATGGCCCATAGCTCAAAGCATCCCTTTTTATCCCAGTCTCTTCACACAGTTTTCTAATCCCTAGCTCCGCAGCCTCCGTCAACGCAGCACTGATTTCGTGGTTTCGATCACAAACGTGCATAAACTTCCAACCCTGCTCTATGTAAACAACCCTGACGTAACAAGGCTCGCCGGAGATTTGCTTGCTCTGCCGCTCCACTTCTGCCTTGAAATCTGCGAGCTTCTGCTGCGGCTGCTTCTGCTGCTGCTGATGACGCTGCTTCTTGCCCATAGCTTTTGAATAAAACCCTGAAAGGTCCCCTTAACTTGAGCCTTCGTCGTCGAAAGAGCCAAAAAGAGAAAACTTACCTACGTGCGTCTTTGCTTGATATCGTCGCCAAAAGCATCGAGACGCATTCCAATCCTTTTCATTTCCTGCGATGTTTATCTGCTTCCCATGGAAGAGGGGATCATCCGAGGTTGGCTCGTCCAAAACGTACGTTGCTTGGTTCCATAGTCTCTCTCATGACCGAGAGTGCTTCGTACGTCACAGGGTTTAGGGTTTAGGAATGGGTCGCAGAGAAGAAAAACAAAAACTTAAAACAGATGGTGGATCCTTGTCCACTGAAGATCAGAAATTGCAGCTGCTGGCGCTCCATAATCACCTGTAGTCTTGAGAAGCAACTCTGCGAATTGCCGCTGTAATTAAACAGGCATCTTAGCAAAACACACAGTGAGAAACTATAAGAATCGTCAAGCTTATACCTGGTATTCAGGTTCCACGGGAATGCAATCTAGAGAGTAAGGCTGCTGTAAGCGTGCTATTATACGATCCTGACCACAAGAGCATAGAACAGCGAAGTGATCATCGCATAAGAAAAAAGATTACCTTGTTTTTGAATAACATCTTTCAGTTTAGCCGTAGTCCTTGCCAAGGCATGCTATGCCACGAGATGGGAAACAATCTCATGGTCCTAAAGCATGAGTAAACTTCATAGAAACAAAAACAAGATAAGAGAAAATATATCATACCTCAACCTGGAGGTTTGGCAAAGCCCGCTAGACGACCATCAGTTCTCTCAGCGCTGACACCAGCGCATCGTTTTTGACAGCATTTTGCATAGCGTCCTCCTGATCGCCGAGAAATCGATCCATTTCCAGCTCTCTAGCCAATACCTGCTGGAGAAGTATTTCCTGGAGGGCGAAGAGCTTTTAGTAAGAGGAGGAAGAAACAAGTTCCTACCCAGCTGCATATACCCAATGCGGGTATATACGAGAATGTGAAAGGCTACTTGCCGCGATGCCTTTTCATTCTTGAGCCACGTACATGGCATTTTATAAACATCAACATGTTCCTAAGCTTTCTAAAAAAATGTTAAAAAGTCTTCGAGCATTAAGTATTAACTCGAAGAACAAAGATGGCTCAAACTGAGCGTGATACAAATCGCAACTTTCCTCGTCCTCAATCAGAAAAGAGAGAACCAAAACGAAAGCGTATACTTAAGAACCAAGCTTCAAAGTCCCTCGTAAAGGTCCCCTTACTTGCTTGAATGGCGGAGCCTTCGTCGTCTACCTTGTTCCTTCCTGAATTGAGAAAAAAAGGAAAAAAATTTGCCTACCTAGGCAGGAGTGGTGGGAGACGGCGGCCATGACATGCGTCTTTGCTTGACATCGTCGCCAAAAGCGTCGAGCTGCAGCGCATCAGGCGACGCATTCCAATCCTTTTCGTTTGCTGTGATGTTGATCTGCTTCAATCTCGTTCGGCCGCGGAGGAGGAGATCGTCCGAGGTTGGCTCGTCCAAAACGTACGTTGCTTGATTCCATATGGGTGTTGTGCAGTCCGCATCTGCATCTTTTACTGGCGTTTCCAGCGATCCCAGCTGTACCTTACGCTTGTAGTAAGATGCCACCGTTTCCCTCATGGCCGAGAGAGCTTCGTAGTATCTCGTGCAAGAGGCAAGAGCCACAGGAATGGGTCGCAGCAAGTCCTGAAGTAGTAGTAGAAGAGAAACAGTCAGTAGAAGAAAAACAAAAACTTGGTGCGCAAGACAATGTGAAAAGTATACCCCCCAAACAGACGGTGGATCCTTGAAGCTCTGTGTCCACTGAAGATCAGAAATTGCAGCTGTTAGCGCTCCATAATCACCTGCAGCCTTGAGTAGCAGCTCTGCGAATTGCCGCTGTAAAAACAGGCATCTTAGCAAAACATAAACGCTAAACACGAAAAGCTAAAGCTGGAGAAACTAAAAGAATCGTCAAGCTTATACCTGGTATTCAGTTTCCACGGGAATGCAATCTAGAGAGTAAGGCTGCTGTAAGCGTGCTATTATACGATCCTGGCCACAAGAGCATAGAACAGCTAAGTGATCATCGCAGAGGAAAAAAGATTACCTTGTTCTGAATAACATCTTTCAGTTTAGTCGTAGTCCTTGCCAAGGCCTGGCATTTCTTCTCTATACCACTTACGTGCGTGAGATGGGAGACGCTCTCATCGTCCTAGAGAGCAAAATAATGGAGGAGCGTAAACACTATAGAAACAAAGACTAGCAAAAAGAAAAGATTTCATACCTGCCGGCCTTGGAGCTCAACCTGGAGATTTGCCAAAGCCCGCTGGACGACCATTAATTCTCTCAGCGCTGACACCAGCGCATCGTTCTTGCCAGCATTTTGCACAGCGTCCTCCTGATCGCCGAGAAATCGATCAAATTTCCAGCTCTCTAGCCGAAGCAAAGAAAATCCACCTGCTGGATGCTATAGCCGAGCTCCGTCGCGATCGCTAGCGCATCCGCCATGCCGCCCAGGCGCCGCAGCGGCTTCTTGCCGACCCAGCCCATGTCCCCCGCCTGGGCAGCGGCATTTGCGACGCTCCCCATAGCTCAGTCTAAGAACCCTAAAATTAGGTGGTCTTACTTGGAATCGAACGCTCGACCTCTACAGAATTAAAGTTTTAGGTGAGCATGCGCAAGAAGATGAAGATGGAGGACGCTGCACGGCAGAATCTTGAAGAGGAGAACCACGAACTTCGGCACATAGTGATGGAGCATGAAATGACGATTGCAAAGCATGAGCAAAAGCTTGTGGAGCTTCAAGTGGAGATTAAAAGAATCCAGGACTCTCGAAAGAGGGTTGCGAAGATCCGCAGATGCATTGTTGTCAATGCAGCTCGCATAAGCGCTGCATGCGAGATCACCTCACGTCCACAGTGTGAAGAGCAATTGAGGTCTCGGAATTGGTCCCAGTTTTTTCCTCCTCCACGCGGTATGTCTGACTTCATTTTCCGCATTGGTTTGTGTTTTTCTTGCAGAATAGAAATCCTTTCAGAGGAATTTTGTTTAAGCAAACTAAATCCTTTTATAGATTGAATAGTATCTTCCCATCCATATTGTTTTGGTTAACATCTATAGACTCCCACAGCCGTCGGAAGGCGGTTCCCGTGGTTTTTGTAAAAATTTTATGGATGTTGGCACTGGCCAATCAGAGGTTGGCATAACTTGGCTAACTGGTGTGAAAACGGAGAGAAATGCAACAAAAGGTAATTCACAATGGAACCTAATCCTCCCTTAATTCTCAGTGCACAATCATTAATTGTGTCTAATCTGTGCCCTGCCAGGATCCAAATTCTCCTTATGACTCCTGCCAAGAGGCACACACCAGTCGGCTTAGGGAATTTGAAGACTAGAAAAAAAGTACCATGGAATTTTGCAAATTGTTTTTGGCCGTCTGCTAAATTAGGTATTACAAATCCAATGATGAACAAAATGCTTGTCTATATATATAAAGCGATAGTGCCAGGGTTGGTGGCCAATCAGAGGTTGGCAACGATTGGCTGGTGCAAAAAAGAGAGAAATGCAACACTTGTTGTATCCCCCCTCGACTCAAGGCAATTCACAGTGGACCTCCCTTGCTTCAGGGTGCTTGCATTGCACTAGGGTACGTCATACCTCCATATCTCCAGGAAAAACTTTTAGCCCTACTTGATCCATTCTATGGCATTGCATGCCACAATGGAATGTAAATCCATCTAGCTTAGTGCTCTTCTCTAGCAGCTCCAAAGATCTCCATCACCTTGGCTACATTGCCTTTGTAGTCTACTATCATTATGTTCCACAAAACCATGTCCTTGGATATTATGGGGGAATTAAAGATGTGCTGAGCATAATTCCACACTTGTTGTAAGCATTTGTGACACTACTGCCTCCTGCAGATCCCAGCATTGAATTCCCTTCTAGTTTCCAAATCCACCAAAGTCCCACAAACCCTTAGTAGCACTATTGCAAATATTGGCAATGTTCCTTCCAGCCCTATGCATTCAAAAACTTTAAAACCATCATGCGTACATCATGATGCTTCATCCAGTCAAACACTACTTGAGGGAGCATGCTTGTACACTTTGTGGAAGTGTCAATTAGGGTGTTGGGAGATTGAGTTGTAGCAAGTTCCAACTCATAATGCTCTTGGATATTGTAGAATCAAAGTTATGTTAGCTTTCTTAATTGTGGAATCACTATACTTTATAAGCTCACTTTTTTAAAATGAGTTTTGAATTCCAAAGGCTCTTGATAGGATGGAGGATCAAATGTTTTTCTCTTGCCTAGGGTACAACAAGCAGGTTCAGAGCAAACTATCTAGCAATCATCAAATCAGCATTGACATCATTGCCAACAGTAGCCATAGCTACATAGCAACAACTTGCATGAGCGACAACCAAAGGTATGTGTTATTTTCTTCTCTCTACCAAAGAAATTTTAGGCTCAATAATAGATACTTGAATTATTTACTAACTATGATAGGTTGTCCAAGAGAGCTTTAGCTTCAAGACTTTTTTTTGTAAAGTTCTTTCTTCTAAATTTTGAAAGTTATCTTTAAACACTTTAGCATTTTAGGAGTTGATCAAATAGCAAACATAGCTAACCACCCAGCATTTGTTGGGCAATTGCTAGTAGGTGAACTAAAATGGTGTTTGGATTGGGATATAGAGTGTTTGCCCTACATGAATGTGAAACAAGAACATCAATAATAATTTTCACAAGTTCTTGATGATGTAAGAATTTTATATCATATAGAATAAATTTATAAAAAGTTGGTGACTTTCAGAATTTAGGGCTGGCCAGGAGGAGAACAAAGACCTTCAGCTTATGGTTGTATGAACAAGAGCTTTTGGAGCTTCACATGAAGGTTTTGGAGCTTCAATGGGAGATCACAAGTATTCAGCCCTATCGGCAGAGGTTAGCAAATGTCCATAGGTACGTTGTTGTCAATGCAGCTCGCCAGGAAACTGACAATTCACCACGGTATGATGTGAAACTGTTGCCTAATTGCTCCGAGTTTTTTTAATCGGTTTCCTCCTCCAGACTTTGTCTTCCCTTTTAGTTTGTTTTCTTCATGTTTGTAGTGTGTGTGCAGGCTTGCTTTGCTTACTCAAGGACACTGCAATTCCGAACCTTGACATATATACACACAAGGCATCGTTGCTAGAACTTGCGGAATCTGTTTGTGAGGTCACAGAAGATTGGAAAGGATTGAGGCTTTCAAATACGCATATAACCGGGATCCTGAGGTGATAGTTATATAAAAATTTATTGATGCTAAGCTCTTCACAGCAAAAAAAGTAATATATAGGTTCACATTCCATCTTCCAATTACTAGAATCTAAAAGTATTTTAGACGATGTCTACCAAAATCTTAATATACCATTAAGAATTTGAACTTTACCAAAGCCCGATCCGGACTTTTTTAGTTGACATGACCGTTTCCTTTACGGCACTTTAGGGTAACAGACGATGATAGGGCTCTTGCTGCTGCTAGTGATCGGCATCTCGGCCGCTGGGGCTGGCGCTGGCGCGGCGACGGCATCGCAAACAAATGCAGAGGTGATTTTTCTGGTGTGATTTTCTCGAATCTGGGAGCTCAAGCTTTGCTACTCCATAGGTAACTTATGGCAGCGTGATCAAGCTCCAACATGATCGGACTAAGTATCGACTACATTCTCACGATGTTCCTTACGGCTCTGGCAGTGGACAACAATCAATTACTTGCTACTCGGGTCACGATTCGAATAGCTACTGGGTAAGTTCTTCATCCTTCAGTGATTTTTTTTGTTTTCCTTCTTGCTTGCTTTTCTGTTTTGTGGATGTGCTTGCTAGAGTCTCCAGTTTGCCAAAATTGTATTTTTCTTCTGGAAGTTCTAATTTCAGGCTCAAGTTTTGTTGGAGCCTGTGTTTTCTCAATTCTCTGTTGTATGTTTTGTAGAGCCGGATTTTGCTCCTGTTTATGTTTTCCTGAACCGCGCTGTTTCTTTTTTGGTCAGCTTTGATATTAAGCAGTTTCTTGTTCTTTTTTTCGTAGATTGTAAGGCCGAAAGGAAGATCCAGCTTTCGTCAAGGGGATGTTATAGCAGACGGGGCCGTGATCCGCTTGCAACATATGCGAACACGGAAATGGCTTCACAGCCATCTCTTGCAGTCTCCCATCTCAGGAAACCTTGAGGTATTTTCGCGTCCCTTGCATCAATCAAACTGACAAAGTTTTCTCCTTTTTCCTTCGTCAGGTGAGTGGCTTCGGTGGGGACGACGACAGTGATACAGGAGATAATTGGAAGTAAGCCTTGCGAGAAAGCTACCTAGTCTGTAGTTTTTTAACACTTCGTGCGCTAGTGTAGGCTTGAGATAGATGGCAAGGCTAACGTATGGCTAAGGGACCAGAAAGTGCGTTTGCTCCATCTAGATACGAATGGGTATCTTCATAGCCACGACAAGAAGTACAACCGGATAGTTCCTGGCCAGCAGGAGGTACAAAAAAAATCGTGTTTTACTCTTTGAATTCATCCATTGATGTATTTGTTTTGTGAACTTCACAGGTCTGTGGTGTGCGCAAGAAATCTAGCGACAGCCTCTGGCTAGCAGCCGAGGGTGTTTACTATCCCGCAACTAAGATCAAGGCATCATCGGCCTAAGCAGAGAGAAAGAGAACGAAGAAACCTGGACTTTTGCTCGATATGGTGGATTTATTTCTCCTCGAGGAATTCTTTGGATGATGATATTTGCTGGTTTCGATGCTACAGTGCTTAGATTTTCGTCATCAAGTGGTCCGGACATCGGAATTTTTTTTTTCTTTGGCGACCACCAACCTTTCTGACTTTGCGGGTATGTAATTTTTATATGGCACCATTAGATGGAGTTCAAAGGTTTCAAGTGGAGACTTTGTGGCTTTGACACTGTGATCGTGGATCACAGCCAAACACGGAGTACGCCGTCGCTAAGCTGCGGTTTCTAATTCTAAGATCTGGCACGCCCGATTTTCCGTGCACTGATTTAATGATCTGTGATTGCTGCCTCCAAGGCTATCTGTTTGCCTTTGTCTCGCAAGGAAAAAACCTTCTCGAAAAGACTAGTTTGATGCCTCAAAAGCTTGCAGGCACTTTGAGAGGTTGATTGACACTTTTGTATTATTTGGCTTTTGTTGTAGCGCGTCTAACAGTCCTTACACACGCTTGTCACATCGTTCCATTCTTCAAAATCTCATCTCAAGCCAGGTGTCTTACACGTAGGACATATTGTCATCCACGTGTCAGGCCACGTCAAAAGTTAGACATGGCTCAAACAGTTCCCAAGGCTCTTCTTCTTTTTGTCTATCCTCCCTTATAAATGACTTGGTTGGTGGTACCCCTCTCATACTACTAATGGATGGATTTGGACTGGCCAGCCAATTTGCTTCTCTCTTTTTAATATTTTTTTTTCTCTCTGGTGTTGTGTGTCTTCACAGCATGGCTGGTGGCACTGGGCATGATCAGGCACAGGCACAGCAGCAGCAGCTGCTGCAAGCACACCACCTTTTTCTTCCCCACATTTTGTTTCATCCAGACCACCATGCAAAATCTTTTTGAGACCAGCCAGGAATCACCCCAACCAGTCCAATCTACAACATGCTGAAAGGCAAATAAAAAGAAAAAAAATTTACTTTTTTATAATTTTATTTTACTTTTGCCAGAGATTGTAAACTGGGACTTCACTGTTTTGTCCACTGCTCACCAACATGCGCCTAGATATGGTGGAAAGCTGATTACCAGTGTTGATGGATATTATAGAGAGTTGATTATTGTTGGAGATTTGTCCGTGGGGAGTGGTCACGGGTTCAAAACCAGCGCGAATAAGGAGATTTCCAGCTTTGTCAAAATTTGTTGCAATGTCAGGTTCACGTGATAGGGCCGCAAAATATATATACCCGGACGATATCAATCAAAGGGGAAGATCGATTTCAAAAAAACACTTAACAAACAAAAATTAGTTATTGTGGCAAACATGACGCCCAATGATTGTAACTAGCTGCCTCGCATGTGCAAGTTTTAGTTTTTAAAAAGATACTTAAAGAAAGAATATTCGTTATGGATCTCAAATCTCATGCGTTAAGGGAAATCGGACGCACAGGATGCGCCGGGAAGAAAGACAAATCCCACGGCTATCGGCGGCCCGTCAAGAGAGCCCGTCACTAAAATACTTTTTGGGGGTCGATTTTCTACGGATACGGTGAAGAGTAGCGACACGCCATAGCCTAGCGAGGGAGAGAGGAGCGTTTGTTTTTCTATAGTGTTCTTGTCCATAGTCCATAGCTAGTTTCTTAGGGCATTGCGCAATGCGGAGGCGGCGAGACGCTGCCGGCGCCCCGGCTGGATTGCAATGCGGGTGATTCCATCCAGTCGCGGCAATGTATCGATTCTCTGCGGGCGATGCCAGGGATTTGGAGCTGCTGCTGTGAAATCCTCGAAATCCTCCAGGTGCATTGATATTTCGAGGCGGCAAGTCCTCTGGATGAACGATCTGAGCTCGTGGATCCTGTGAAGGCTTGATGCATCAAGGTCGAAAGGATTTGAGCTACTACTTCAAGGCGGAGAGCGCCGAGGAGGCCGCCGCTGCAATGCCTGGTCCCAGATCTCCAAATTTCTCCGCGGCTGCCAAGCCCGATGTGGCTCTACAGATGGTGGAGACTCCCAAATCCAAGCAAGCCGAGGTGGAGGTCGCCGAGGACGCGAAGAAAGGAAGAACCCACGAGGTTTGCTCGGTTCCCTTCTACAAGCTCTTCTACTTTGCGGATCCACTCGACTACTTGCTCATGTTCTTGGGGACCTTGGGCGCAATGGCCAATGGGTTTGCGATGCCCGCCTTGACAATCGTGTTTGGGCAGCTCGCGAACGCGTTTGGACAGAATTCCGGTAACATCCACGCCATGGTTCATGAAGTTTCACAGGTATGGGAGTGTGATCTTTCGCTGTGCTGTTTCGTTGACGAGAAGAAGAACTTTGTCAGGTGGCTTTGCGCTTTGTCTATCTCGGCGGCGCTGCTTCGGTGGCATCTTTTGGTGGTGCGTAAGAGGGATATCTTTGTTTCGAAAGCCTTTCATTTCTGTTCTTCGTGTTTGCAGAAGTAGCGTTTTGGATTTGCACAGGAGAGCGTCAGGCTGCGAGGATAAGAGGACTGTATCTCAAGTCCATCTTAAGGCAGGATGTGGCTTTTTTTGACAAAGAAACCACAACTGGAGAAGTTGTTGGTAGGATGTCTGGAGACACTATTCTGATCCAGGAAGCGATTGGAGAGAAGGTATATCAGATCGAGATATGTTTTGCAGCTGGCTAATTTGACAGCTTTGGCTTGCAGGTCGGGAAGTTTATTCAGCTGACGGCTACATTTTTGGGTGGCTTTGCCGTGGCATTTACGAGAGGATGGAAGCTGACTCTGGTCATGCTCTCGGCGTTGCCCCTGATCGTTGCAGCTGGAGGAATGATGGCCGTTGTGGTTTCTCGGATGTCTAGCAGAGGGCAAGTGGCATATGCAGAAGCTGGAGGCATCGTCGATAGAGTTATCGGTGCAATTCGAACTGTGAGATTTTGTTGCCTTCTTTAGCCACCTTTGTCCCGTCTTTAACTTAATAATTTGCGGTCACAGGTAGCATCGTTTACTGGAGAGAAGAGAGCTGTCGAAGACTACGATAAAGCGTTAAAGAGAGCGTACAGTGCTGGGGTGCAACAGGGTATCGCAGCTGGCCTGAGCCTGGGGTTTCTTCTGCTGATAGTCTTTTCGAGCTACGCGCTGGCTCTTTGGTACGGCTCAAAACTGGTTCTACATGAAGGCTTTTCTGGTGGAAGAGTGATGAACGTGATTTTTGCGGTTCTTACCGGTGGCATGTAAGTCAGCCTGCTGTACGCACGTCGACATTTACTTACACTTCTCATTTCCGTTGCCAGGGCATTGGGTCAAACTTCTCCGTGTCTGAATGCGTTTGCTTCTGGCCAAGCAGCGGCATATAAGATGTTCGAAGTTATCCACCGTACTCCGGAGATCGATGCTTTCCAATCCTCGGGCAAAGTTCCGGAAAATGTCAAGGGGGATATCGAATTCCGTCAGGTTGATTTTTCGTATCCATCTCGGCCAGACGTTCAGATATTCTCGAAGTTCTCCTTGGGTATTCCGTCGGGCATGACAACGGCCCTCGTAGGAGAAAGTGGAAGTGGCAAGTCTACAGTTATAAGCTTGATTGAAAGGTTTTACGACCCACAGGCGGGTGAAATACTGCTGGATGGAACGAATCTAAACGAGATACAGCTGAAGTGGCTAAGGCATCAGATTGGTCTCGTCAGTCAAGAGCCAGTTCTTTTCGGCACGTCGATCAAAGAGAACATTGGTTATGGAAAAGAAGGAGCAACACTAGATGAGATCCAGAATGCCGCGTACCTTGCGAATGCAGCCAGGTTTATTAACAAGTTGCCACAGGTATACTGCGACGGTGAAACTTGTGATCGAGTTTTAACGTTTATAAGTTTTGCAGGCTTATGACACTCAGGTCGGGGAGCACGGAGCACAACTATCAGGTGGACAGAAGCAGAGAGTTGCAATTGCGAGGGCAATTCTTAAAAATCCTCGGATTTTACTGCTGGATGAAGCCACGAGCGCCTTGGATGCCGAGTCTGAGCGTCTCGTGCAAGAAGCTTTGGATCGTGTAATGACGGACAGGACGACTGTAGTTATAGCCCATAGGCTGACCACGATAAGGAATGCTCATTGCATTGCTGTCGTGCAACACGGAGCAATCGTTGAGACGGGTGAGGCAGATGAATTTCTTTTTTCTAGCACTAACACCTTTGTACTGGACTGGATTCCATAGGTACGCACTTTGACCTTGTACAACGTCCCAATGGTGCCTACTCCCAACTCGTGCATCTGCAAGAGATGCATCAACCTCCGCCCGTAGAGACCACTGAAATTGATCCGGACAGTGTTTTGATTCAAGAAGATAATCGAAGTCTCAGCCGAGCTGCCAGCCGAAACTCTCCAAGCAGGTGGTCTTTCAGCAAAGCTTCTCCAATCCGGTGGTCATTTAGCAGGTCTTCGAGTCGAGGGGACGGCCGGCACTCGTTCTCATTGACAAAGTCAGCAAGTGTTAAACAGGCTGATGACAGCGATCAGAAGCAGCCGGTTTGCGAGGATATTGAGACTGGACGTACGAAGCCGAAGAATATATCCATCTTCAGGCTTGCTACTCTGAACAAGCCGGAAGTTCCGATCGTCTTTGTGGGGTCTCTGGCTGCTGCTGCAAACGGAGTTATCTTACCCCTGTTCGGGCTTCTTTTGTCAAGCATCATCGGCTCCTTTTTCGAAGTCAACGTACACACGCTGCGGAGGGACGTGAACTTCTGGTCGATGATGTTCCTCGTCCTTGCGTGCTCCGCTTTCGTTGTCGCTCCGGCTCAGATACTTTGCTTCTCCGTCGTCGGCAACAGACTAATCCGTCGCATCAGAACGCAAATGTTCGAAAAAATCCTCCGGCAAGAGATCTCGTGGTTCGACGCATCTGAAAACTCCAGGTTCGTAACCTGGATGCATTCTCTTCTTTCGGCTCATCAGTGCTTTTCTTTTCTTTCTTTTCGTTTCAGTGGAGCGCTCGGGGCAAGACTGTCCTCCGACGCAGCACATGTTCGAAGTATGGTCGGAGATACGTTGTCTCTGTTCGTGCAGAACGTAGCCACTGTTGCTGCTGGTCTTGTTCTCGCATTTACTGCTAGCTGGCAGCTGGCTCTTCTGGTTCTAGCTCTGGTGCCCCTGATTGGTCTACAGCATCTTATGCAAGTCAAGTTTGTGCAAGGCTTCAGCGCAGATGCCAAGGTGGGCAGACATTCTCTTTTTCCTTTCCACTCATGATATATAGTATCTCGAGTTTTGCAGATAATGTACGAAGAGGCTAGTCAAGTAGCCAGCGAAGCCGTGAGCAGCATCAGAACAGTTGCTTCTTACTGCGCAGAAGTGAAAGTCATGGACTTGTACAAGGAAAAGTGTAGCCTCCCTTTGATCAACGGTGTGAAGCAGGGGATTATCAGTGGAGTTGCTCTATCCGTTTCCAACTTTGTGCTTTTCGGATCATATGCCATGAGCTTTTGGTTTGGTTCGCGCCTCGTGGAGAAAGGAGAAACCGACTTCAAGAGAGTGTTTCGGGTAAGGAGCTGTATCACATATCGTTTCGCGTTCTAACATCGTTTGCATTGCAGGTGTTCTTCGCCATCACAATGAGCTCCGTCGGAATATCTCAGTCCGCCGGCATGGCTCCAGACATCGCCAAGGTTAAAACCGCCGTCAACTCCGTCTTTTCTCTCCTGGACCGCAAGTCCAAAGTAGATCCGTTTGACAAGTCAGGAAAGACACTGAAACTAATCAAAGGTGACATAGAGTTCCGCACCGTCTGCTTCAAGTATCCATCCCGGCCGGACGTGGCCATTTTCCAGGACCTGTCGCTACTCATTCCCGCTGGAAAGGTACCACAATTGCTCGATCTTTCAGAGGAGAAACATATCTGTTGTTCTCTCAGACTGTAGCACTGGTGGGAGAGAGCGGTAGCGGGAAGTCGACACTGATATCCTTAGTGGAGCGCTTCTACGAGCCGGACTCGGGCCAAGTTCTCCTGGATGGGATAGACATAAGGAAGTTCCAGGTGAAGTGGCTGAGGCAGCAAATGGGCCTGGTGAGCCAGGAGCCGGTCCTCTTCGACGGCACCATCCGGTGGAACATCGCCTACGGCAAGGAAGGCGCGGTGAGCGACGAGGAGATCCAGGCTGCCGCCGAGGCGTCCAACGCTCACAAGTTCATCTCGGGGCTCCCGGAGGGATACAAGACGAGAGTCGGGGAGAGAGGCGTCCAGCTCTCGGGTGGCCAGAAGCAGCGAGTAGCGATCGCCCGCGCGATCGTCAAGAACCCGAGAATACTGCTGCTGGACGAGGCGACGAGTGCGCTGGACGCGGAGTCGGAGCACCTGGTCCAGGAGGCACTGGACAGGATCAAAGTGAAGCGGACGAGCATTGTCATCGCGCACCGGCTGGCGACGATTGTGAACGCGGACGTGATCGCGGTGGTGAAGAACGGGGCGATTGTGGAGAGGGGGAAGCATGCCGATCTGATTGGCATCAAAGGTGGCGCTTATGCTTCTCTTGCCAAGCTGCATTTGACGGCCGCGCCCTCCACGTCGTAGAAATATATGAAGCAGCAAAATTATTATAAAATAAAAAAAAAGTAATAATTTTACAAGACTGAATAGAACTCACTTAATATACATCAAAGTGTAAACTTCACACTGATGTTTACACCAAAAAAATATGTTTAGATTTCTAGAATGGATTGAAACATACAGAATCTTTTAGATTTCTAAATTTTGCTGGCACTCTCATATTCACTTTGAGTTTCTATATTCTTTTATGCTTACAATAGAGTGCTTGGTCAGAGTGCTCTTGGCCTTCAGGCAAAAAATCAGTTGGAGTGTATATTTTTGGATCAAGGTCTTAATCTGGCCTTTGAAGCTATTAAAGTTTTGATGTAATAAGTTTTTTATATCGGCTTATTTGTAGCACATGTTCTTATGCATATTCTGAAGGTGGTGTTAATCAGTTTTATATTTCCGATTTATTTCTTTATTTTGTTTGATTTATGCTAAAATGTGAAAGATGATCAGGTCATGATTGGGAGGGATGCTGTCAAAAGACTGGATAGTAACTCTGAGTTACACTTCTGGAATGTGTAATTGCTTTTTTTACTTTTGGCTTCTGTCTCTTTGGTGATTGGGTGAAATGCTTTGGTGGACGTTTGCTGTTCTATTTGACCCATCTTGAAACATGGACCAAGGAATCTATGAGTCCGTAGGTTTCAAACCCATGAGGTGCAAGGAAACTGAATTGTTTGATCCCCCCTCTGGGGAGCAACATGGACCGACCTTGATTTTTTGTGAAGGTTTGAGTTTGAGCATACCTGTTAGGACCCGAAAGATGGTGAACTATGTCTCAGCAGAGCAAAGCCAAAGGAAACTCTGGTGGAGGCCTATAACAATACTGATATGTAAGTCGTTTGTCAAACTCGGGGTGAAAGATTAATTGAACCATCTAGTAGTTAGTTCTTTCTGAAGTTTCCCTTAAGATAGCTAGAGCTCATCTACGAAGTTTCATTGGGTAAAGCGAATGATTAGAGGCCTCGGAGGTGAAATGCCCTTAATCTATTCTCAAACTTTAAATAGGTGAGACATTGGGGTTGCTCCATTGAACCCCAGCTATGGAATCTGAGCTCCGAGTGGGCCATTCATGGTTAAGCAAATCAACTAGGCCATTTTTAGTACTTTTGTCTAGGGTGTAAGATCATCTGTCTTATAACCTGATACCAATCAAAACCAACATGATAACCCTAACATTTCTTATGTCACCTCCTACAGTTTGGGTGTATCTATATTGTAGGGTTTTATTTTGGCTGCCAAAAAGCCATTTGAAATGGCTTTTTGGTAGAGAAAATGTTAAAAGCTTTAATACAAATTAGTGTCATCTGAAAAGTCAATGGCCGTGACAATTTCCTTAAGCAGCTTAAAAATTAAAAAACAGCACATGTGTGCCAACTTAATTATGAATCAACAATGTCAATATCAGGCAATTCATGAGAAATTTCAAGTGATGCCAGTTGTTGCCCTGAACTGTTGGTATTGGGCTGGTCCAAATCAGTTAACAAACAGATTTTCCTTTTTCTGACTGCAGCAGCACTCGAATCTCCCTTATTTAGATGTTTGCACTTGAAAGGAGGAGGCATGGGAGATGCAGGTAAGCTCTCCACACCAGTTACTTAGTCCATGTCATCCCCATGGCCACTAATCTCACTATCATGCATAGTATTGCGTACTATCAGCCTGGATAGAAGTAAACGAAGAAGTTTACCTCCCATTAAACCTAAGATCAGAATCCCGGTTGAAGTCATCATCTTCGTCTTCAGACATGGAATCATCAGCGTCAACTTCCGCATAAGACCTGAAACCTGTGGTTGTGTGGCCTGTGCCACTGCCTCCTACAACTGGAGAGTCGTTCTCTTTTGGAATATCAAATTCTCCTCCAGTCCACGTTGCAGAGCTGCAAGAAGTTTTAAATTCCTTCCTATCCCAAATTCGACGGTTTTGGTATGAACGAGCATCTCAGCCCGCTCTGGATGCAATCTACACACAGGCAAGTGACACCAATGTCAGACAAGTTCTTCATGTTTTATAAATGAACAAAGGGGTTACTTGTCCCGCTTTAGTGTCAAGACGTTGCTGCATGTACTAAAATTCCGCTTAGCTGCAGAATTCGAAGTTGTCAAACCAAGAATATAGCATGCAAACCTCTAAAGCACTGCCCCCAAGTCACAGCTGAAGCTGACCGCAGAGGCCCAAACATGCCAAGGTGAATCTCCATCCTTGCCTTTCTCAAGCAATTCTTGTGCATCACAGCTGTCTGCAATGGAAAAGGGGCCAGTTCCATCGACGTACACAAAGTACTCTTGATTTAGCTTGTGGGCATCTTCAGCATTTGGATAGAAACAATGTCGAACACAACTGAATGCTGTTGTCGCTTCCTGTCTGTTCCTATCCTCCCTATAACGCGGATTTACACACCAGGCTGCCCCAAACAAGTCACAGGATCTCATGTATTGATCCTCCTGTTTCTGCAGAAAGTCTTCAAGCTGCTGTTTGTCCTCCACACTGAAACCTGTAACTGCTGCTGTCTTGAACTTCAAAAAACGCTATGCTTGCCACACAAAGCCAATGGTTGAAGCTGAGCGATCAAAGAACTTGATTGCCATCACCACTGGCTCCATCAACTGCATCACCTTCTCAACACCCGCCTAGAAATTAAAATCCTCCACTACCGTCATGGCTTGGTTAGCAGTCTCTGTTGTCATTGTGGGTTGGCTTTATAGCCAATCTTTAAATCCAGTATTCCTAAACAACCTTTGCAATGCTCCACACTCTTCCCATAATCACCTGAGCATGTAATAATAGGTTCCAAACCTGTGAAAGAAACAAAAAAAGTGTTAAAGTCAGTAACAGACAGTTACACAACTCTAATACTCACCGAGTAGTGACAGGTCTGACAAGTTGCCGCTTAGGATGCTGAGCTTGATAAAAAGCATACACACGAGTGGAGTTCTTCACAAATTGAACTATACACTTCCCTGTGTCCAGATATTGTTTGATGTTGTCCAAACCTGCCCAAGACGTTAGTACAAGGTTCAGAGCATGAAACTGGCATAGAACACTCCACATATCTTCAAACTCAGCTTCGAATTTATGTCTAACAAGCTGCATGTTGGTTGCATTGTCTGTTACTATTGCTGATAATCCACACTTCCTCTTTATACACCGCATTTGATCATGTAATGTGTTTCCATTGCCAGGGATGTTGCTTATGGCTACATTTGCATCATCAGTGAGTACTCGAGTGTTTATAGCTGAAACCACACTCTTCAATTTGCTATACAAGATATCAGCTGCATTGCAAAGCAAACAAGTTAATTGGATGTTACATGAAAAAGCAATCCATACCTTAAGATTCACAGCACTCAAATGAGGCATAAAAAAACTCTTCATGGTGTGCTGCATGAACGATCATAATATTCTGAATATGCAACCCACTAACTGTCTTCCAACTGTCTGTTACCAAGCAAAGCGGTCGTGGGCTGTACGCACCTGTAGCTTTCTCAAGTTGTTGATCAATGCACTCAACCGTTTTATGGTATATCTCATCCAAAAAGTCTTCATGCAAAGCCTTCAGCAAAGGCAAAGGAAACATGGAACTGCATTGGGCGTGTCTACCAACTGCTAGGTTGAACACTCTGACCTCGATATAAACTCCCAATGCATACTCCTTCTGCTATGCCTTGAGTTCTTCAGGGGTCAACACCCTTCCTGTGATTCCTTTGAGAGCTACTGTTTCCTGCAAGATACGACTTGTTGAGCCTGTCTGAGGCCGTGTAGTAGACACTATTATATCAATCTGATTCCCAGCTGCGCATAAACCACCCACAGAGATGCAGCCAATTGTAGCTAACTCAGTCTCTCAAACCTGTTGCCACAATCGCTCTACATCAACTGGTCTTCACCCTCCAAAAATTCTATCCATTCCCATGCTTTGTTGTCTTTACTGCTCGGAAAGGCAAACATGTTCAGCCTGCGTTCAATACTCCCACTAGCTTGAGGAGTTGATCCTCCAACACTACAGGCATCTTCATCCAATTGTTGCGACCCTGAAGCTCCTTGATTGCTAAACCGTGTCATTCTACCACTACCATATCGTTCGAACTCCGCAAGCTTGATGTTGTACGTCTCAATATTGTTCCTTGCTACAGACACAAACTCCTTACTGAACTCTTGTATTGGCCTGCGACAATATAGCAGGGTTTTATTCAAAGTTACTTTTTGGCATTTTGAATAATTATGACCTTTTAATTAAGCATAACCCTTGAACCTTTAACCCTGCCGGAGAAAAGATTCGACAGTAGTCATTCTACCATTACCATATCGTTCGAACTCCACAAGCTTGATGTTGTATGTCTCAATATTGTTCCTTGCTACAGACACAAACTCCTTACTGAACTCTTGTATTGGCCTGGGACAATATAGTAGGGTTTTATAGTAGGGTGAAAAACAAGGATTAGTAATGCAATCTCAACTAACTCTCAATTTTTTTTGTAAAAGTACAAAGATAGAATTCAAGAATGAAATGAAACTTGCATATGACTAATATTCATTAGCCAATGTTCTCAGGTACATGTCCAAGCCACGCATCAGAAGTGACTTCCAAAGATTGAATCTAAAGAGCATGTTCAACCTGATTGTTTTCTATTACTTCATAAATCTTGCCATCCAGTCTAGTCACTGTCATCCCATCCTTTTTCTATGGGGGTGATTATACATTGGATCAGTCAATATCATAAGTGGTACCTAAGCAGAGTTGGTGATTGTCCCTTGCATTGCTGTGTTAGGTTCTAGTGTTCTAGCTGTAAAAACTTCCTACAGGCCGGGGGAGGGAATGCAAATGAATCTTTTGTACCCATTTGTGTGGCCAGGAAAACATTAGAGAGATTCCTTGCAACCTTAGTGTTGGGCGTGAGCTCATTTTGAGCTAAACCCAAGCAAACACTTCATTAGCACTACTCATTTTTGTGATGTGCAAAAAAGCGGCTATTGATCCTGGTGTGGGCAAAAAATGCGCATGGCTGCGCTAGCGCACAGCCTTGTAGCTGCCCAACCCTGCTCTACTTGTCGATGCACTCCTGGAGAATGTGCCATCGCTTCATACCTTTTGGTATGAGAAAATCTAGCACTTACTGCCATGAAGTCAAATAACTATAGTTTGTAACTAGGTTTGCATAGCCGTATAGTGTGTCTCCCAGCATGAGATTTTGCAAAGAATCCAAAGTCTTGTTTTTTACCATGCCACATCTACTCATATGTCCCATTATCATGTTGATGGGTTTTTGTAAACAAAACTTCTTGTTAAAAAATCTTGTTATCAAACCATGGAGACAGTCTGATCTTGGAGGAACCGGAGTTGTAGAAGAATTAGTGATGTGGGATGAACTGAAAGCCAAGCTAAGGCACCCAAATGTGTGCTAACCCAGATCTCACAAAAGGTGTTGATTGATTAAAACAGTAGGACAGTGGTCATGAAAGTCGAAATCCACTAAAGAGTGTGTAACAACTCACTTGCTAAATCAATTAGCCCCGAAATGGATGGCACTTAAGCGTGTTGCCTATGCTCAGCCATTATGGCAATTTCGGTTGTTGATAAACAAGCAGGAATCCAGAGAAACAGCTCAGCCTCCAGAACAATCCAGATTCCTATAATATCGAATATAACCTAAACCATGCAAATCAAGATTCTGCATTTTATGCAGGACTAAGTTTGATGCCAACATTAGAAACTTATATTCATTGGCTATTCTAATGTTGGTCATGCTTACAGATTGATAGATCCTACTAATAGCACAATTTATGGACCAGCATACCAAAATGTGATCTTCCATCTCTACTTTTCTAGCAACAGCAGTACCACCACCACTTGCAACATGGATTTTCTCCACATCTCAGAACATTGGCTTTGGGATAATGATCTTTCTCCTTCTACCTCTACTTCTGTACCTGTTTTGAAGGAGCATAATGTACCCTTGGAGCAACTTGATCTCTCACTTGCACCACCTTCTTTCACATGTAGCTGATTCTCCACATGCAGCAGTAGCAACAGTGTCAACTCAGCCTCCACTCTCTCATAGGGAGAATCTTGGTCATGGGAAGCGTGTCAAGAAACCCACACTTATAATTTTTGAGAATTTGGAATCTGGATTTTCTACCAGTACCTCTCTTCTCTTGAAATTTTGTGAAGTAACAAATACCATGGAACCAACTTCTTACTAAGAAGCAATGGCCAGTGATTTAGCATTCTTTTGGAAGCAAGCAATGGATCAACAAATCCAATCCATTGTGTCAAGCTCAATACTGATGGCACTTTGAATTGCTACAAAGCCAGATTAGTAGGATTTATCCAGAAATATGGCATCCATTATTCTCTAGTGGTGAAGATGAACAGCATTAGGATTCTCCTTGCCTTTGCTGCATTCTTTGAGGTTCATCACATTGACAACAATCTTCAATGCTGATTTGCAAGAGGATGTGGGGAGAAATGCATAATGCAGCATCCCCCTCTTTTACATGGTTACCCCCTTGCCACGCTCACTCCTTGCTCCGGTGCTATGCCTAGTTATGCCCAGCCTTAAATGTTTAACAACTAAATCTAAATTAGTAACATTAAATTTTAATTACTATATGTTGTGTTTTATGTTCCTTTTTATATTTTCTTTCTTATTTTTATCATTATCTTTAGTATTATGGCTATATTGGAATATATAAATCATGCTCAAGATAGTATTCTTACTTTTTCTGATTTTATTGAGAGAACTAATAATATACTAGAACAATCTTTAATTTGTAGTAATAAAGTGGCATGCCTATGTAAGCAATGAGGCGGCCAAATAAGCAAATGGGCCCAACCCTAAATAAAAGGGGGTGATGTGTATCTTTACCAACTAGAAAGGTATGTACAACCAGGAAAGGAGCACAAAGTTTAGAAGTTGAAAAAGGCTCTGTATGGTCTCAAATAAGCATTTAGAGCTTAGCAGATTAATTCGTTTTTTCAAGCACCATGGCTTCACTCCCCTTAGGCTAATTCTAATATCTATATCAAGATTATTGTTGCTCTTTATGTGGATGACTCTCTTCTCCTTTCTTAGATTAACAATGGCATCTAAGTTTGAGATGGCTAATCTTGGTCTAGTCAAGTACTGCCTAGGCCTGAAAATCCAGTGAGATCAACAGCAGCAACTTCTTCACATCTCTCAAAAGAAGTACCTCTCTTCTCTCTTGGACAAGTTTCACATGCAACAATGTAAGCCTTTTTCTTCCTCCAGGATCCATGTTTACCAAGCAAAATTGTCCTACCAGCAAGGAGGAGCAAGAAGAAATGGCATCTTTGCCATACAAGAACCTGACTGAATCTCTTATGTATGCTATGGTTTGTTCTAGACCAGACTTGGTATTTGCAGTCATTACTCTCAGCTAATTCTCTGCAAATCCAGGCAAGAAGCATTGGAAGGAATACTCAAGTATGTAAAGAGCACTTTAGATTTTGGCATTCAGTATGGTAAAACTTCTGAGCATGATTTCAACCTTCAAGCATTTTCAGACAGCAATCTCAATGATGATAGGGACACCTCCAAATCAACCACAGGATTTTGCTATCTACTAGCAGGAGGAGCAGTCCAATGGAGTAGCAAGAAGCAACACCATGTTGCTCTCTCCTCCACAGAAGTAGAATACTTGGCTGCCTCAGCTACATAAAGAGAGGTTCTTTGGTTTCAAGACTTCTTGTAGCACTTGGGCATCCAACTACTCCAATTCCCCCATTCTCATCGCTGTTAGCTTCCAAGGATAATTTGTTGAGGATTATTGCAAGGATAATCTGGCAAGGATATTCCAAGGATAATCTGCTGAGGAAACATTGACGTCGCCAGCCCATTCAGATCTGAGGCGCCCCGGAAGCGCAAACACAAACAGAATGTGCGACTGACAACGTATTCTAATGGTTCCCGCTGCAGCATTGGACGCGACACCGGCCTCTGGTGGTTTTTGAGCTGTGCTAAAATCTCCCTAAGGATACCAAGTACTCGTTCAAGTGCCTTGCCGCTAGGAATATTTTTCGTAATGTCACTCTGTCTGGGATGACTGGCATGGCCAACGATCCACGCCACCATCGATCGAATCCCCACCACGATCTGGGATTAGCTCGTTCTCAACCGGCGGTTGCGAGAGAAGCCACGGCCAAGGCAGGGCCATGGCCAGCAACCAAGGCCATGGCCGTGGCTTGCCCGTGGAAAGCTAGGGAGCCCCATTAAAAGCCAGCCACGGCCGCCATGCGCCAAGGCGCTGAGCTCCTGGAGCCCCAAGCCGACAGACCTGAGGAGCACCACCAATCCGGCCAGGACCACAAATCCAGATTAAATCCACACAATAAAAATAAAAGAGCTGAATAAACAATAGTTAAAAATGATCATATAACGAAAATCAAAAGAGGCACACTTTCACGTGAACAGTCCGTTCAAGCCATCCACCAAAGCCTCCTCGCTTTTACTCGATTTACTCTCAGGAATACAATGAGAGAGTTCTGGGGCTTGTGGAATTTTGCTGAAATCTGGAGCACTTCAAAGAGAAGTTTAGCGCGTGAATTGGATCTGAACTTGCTTTTTACAAACCTATGTCGCTCCAGCGGCTGTAAAAGGGACTGTCCTTGTCCACAGTGAACTTCATCTCGTAAAACAGCTCCAGCTGCCAGAGCCCAGCATTGGTAGTCAATTTGCCACGAAACTCACCATCTTTGTGGCTCTTTACCTGGTGCATAAATCCGGGATTCGGGCAGATCATTTCGTTATGCAGCCGTAGAGAAGCAAGTGCATCTGAAGACAAACAGCAACGATCAGAGAAAGAACATCTAAAGGGATTGAAACATCACCTTTCACGGAGAGTCTCTCGCTTCTCATAAGATAAGCCGTGACTATGGAAGCACTGAAAAGACCAGCGCAAAAGTTGGGACTTCGATTTAAGAAACAATGCCACACTGACCTGCGAGAGATTCCTTGGAGGCAATGGACGAGCACGCCACCGTGTTGGCGGCCGTGCTCAATGAAATCCAGGCACTCCTCCAAGCGCTCCAGGATGTTTTGTGTCTCCGAATCGACAAGAGGCACCTCCTTTCTCACCAAATCGCGCTTCGCCATTTGCTTCCTCTCCTTCCTTGTGATTTGGCTGCGCGTCTCAATCGCTTTGTCGCTCAAATGTATGTTTGCTACTGATAAAACATGGGAGATTTTGGAGCTATGGCTATGGCGGCCCACGAGACGCGAGACCGCATCGTCAATGTTCCCCAGAAACAATCCCTCGCTGATTTCCTTCATCCTTACTCCAAGAACCCTAAAAGGACTAATACCGTGCAAAGAATATGCTTTTAGGGCTGATGGGGTTTTTTACTCATAACGGTCACAAGGCTTTAACGGCTAGACAATTGGTCGGGTAGGGTATAACGCTTCCATTCCTTGAGCGAGCGATCGATCGAGTCCTTTCAGGAGAGCTAGGGTATGATGCTGGGAATTAGGGGCGAGCAAGAAGGCGAGGCGCTGGAGCGGTGCTTCGCGATCGACCACTCCTCGGCGTCGTCCGACAGCTCCTACTGCTTCTACGGTGAGGAATCGATCGAGCACGGCCTGGATTCTTGCTTCTACGAGGAGAAATCGCCTCCGGATGAACTGTTTGGGGAGATTACGGCCGCGGCGCGGTGCGAGGGCTCCACGGACAGCAACGGGATGGAGCGTTCCGGGTCGCCGGCGTCGGACGACGCGTTCTTGATCGCGGCGGGGTCGTTCGATCGTCACCACTCGGCCTTCGATCGCGAGCAGGGTTTGTTACGGGATGATGGCGACGAGCAGCAGCAATGGGAGGCGCTCGTGGAAGGGGTTCTCGATTGCTCGGCAGACGCGCAGAGCGAATCGATCGGCGGGCAGGGATATTTGGACGCTCAGCACCAGGATGATGATGATCATCGCGCCGCCGAGAATGCCACCAGCGACAGCAACAAGGAGGAAAAGATCGAGCTCGTGGATCTCCTGGTAGCTTGCGCCCAGGCAATCTCGGCGAAGAGCACGAGTTTGATCCACTGCCTTCTGGCAAGACTGGGCGAGCTGGCATCGCCGCATGGATCCACCGCCATGGAGCGCCTGGCAGCCTACTTTACCGAGGGCCTAGCGTGCCGGTTGGCCAGCCAGCGCCCGGATCTCTACAAGCCGCTGTCGCTGGAGACCGATCCAAGCCCCGGATCCGCCTGTTCTTCCGAGGCCGAGGAGGAATCCATCGCCGCCTACCACATCCTCAATCACGTCAGCCCGATCGTCAAGTTCGCCCACTTCAGCGCCAACGATGCCATCCTCGAGGCGTTCCAGGGGCGGAAGAAGGTCCATGTCATCGATCTGGACGTGGGGCAGGGGCTCCAGTGGCCGGCGCTGTTCCAAGCGCTAGCGAATCGATCGGAGGGGCCGCCATCACTGGTGAGGATCAGTGGCATCGGGCCTTTCAAGGACAGCGTCCAGGAGACGGGCGATCGGCTGGCGGAGTTTGCTCAGGCGCTGGGGCTGTGCTTCGAGTTCCATGCCGTGGTGGAGCGGCTCGAGGAGATCCGGCTGTGGATGCTCCACGTCAAGGACGGGGAGGCGGTGGCGGTGAATTGCATCGGGCAGCTCCACCGGAGCTTGCTGGATCGGCAGCAGATCCAGGGGGTGATGGAGCTCATCCGGAGCACGAAGCCGGAGGTGGTGGCAATTGTGGAGCACGAAGCCGAGCACAATGTGGAGTGCTTCGAGGCCAGGTTTGCGGGGTCGCTGCGCTATTATGCGGCGATGTTTGATGCCCTGGACTCGAGCGTGGTGGTGGTCGATGGAGAGAGCTCATTGTCGGCGAGGACGAGGGTGGAGAAGACCATCTTTGCGAGGGAGATTAGAAACATCGTTGGGTGTGAGGGGGAGGACCGGATCGAGAGGCACGAGAGGTTTGAGGGATGGAAGAGGATGTTGGAAGAGGAGGGGTTTCGGAACAGGGGAATGAGCCAGCGCGCGATTGTCCAGGCAAAGCTGCTGCTGGAGATGTTCTTGTGTCCTGAGTATAGGATTGACAAACTGGAGGGCAAGGATGAAAATGGAAGTAGGGAATGTTGTGAAGGTATCACACTTGGTTGGTTGGATCAGCCTCTAGTCACCGTTTCAGCCTGGTCTCTAATAAGGTAATGTATTTTTTTTTTCCAAAACTTTTATGAGGAAAGTTTTCTGTCTTAATTCTTTATCTGAAATTTCAAACTTAAGTTTTAATTTGGTTGAAACACAATTGTGCTATTAGTTGGGTTAATTGATTTAGTGGTGGCTAACATGTTTTTTTCATTTCTTGTGTTTAAATAATTTATTTTGTGTTGCATGTAGCAACGTTTGGTTTGCTTAATAGTAGTATTATTCCTACTTATTAATCAAATTGATAATTATAATTTATAAATACAAGATTAATTTTATTGTAGAATAAAAAAGAATATACTAGAAAATGTTTAAAAGAGAGTTTATAAATTATAAAAATGTTTATAAATTATAAATATAAGATTAATCTAAATGAATAGCAACTGTTGGATGTTAGAATATCCTAGAATATCTAAGTATATTCTAGATATATTCACTACCATCTCAGCCATAGGTTTGCTTAAGCAAACCAAAAATAGTGAGATTTTTTACCTTTAATAATATTACAAAATAAGTAATAATAAATTATTGTTTTTCAATCTTTATCTTTGATTTATATTTGGATGATAAATTTTCAACTTTGCTTGTTAAATTTCCCAATTTATTAAATCTCCCATTACAATATTCTATTTAATTTACTCAGTTTTGCCACTTTTACCACTTGGCTTTCCTAATAATACATTGTAAGAAACAGTAATTATTAATGACAACTGTTAAACTTATATATAAAATATAAAACATCATAATTAATATTCATTTTTATTTAGTTTTATATTGATTTATTTAAATAATATTTTTAAATTCTAAGTTTCATTATTAGTTTAACCTCAATATCAATGTAGTATACTTATTTTCTAGTTCTTTTTTCTTGAATACTTATAATTCAAGCTCTCTAAAATAGTTCTAAGAAAATAAATTTATCAATAAATTAACTAGCTTGTGTTAAGTTTTACTACAATTTAAATAATTTAATTTACACAACTATATTTTATTTAATTATACTTAAGTTCTAAATAATTTATAATCCTAGAAATCCTTAAGTTTAAGTAGAAAATAGTAATTTATATTTTATTTATTTAAACTTATTAATTATAACACATTGTGTTACTTGACCATATTGTTTTAGATGGTTTTCCATCTTCATATAAAATTAAGGTACAATTTAAATCTAAAACAAATATCGATGGTTTTATACAGTTAAATGTTTTACAATAAGTTCCAGTTACATATAAAGCTTTCAAATCAAATGCTGAATAAAGAACAAGATTTCCATCTTCTTGTAATCTTAATTTACAATCAAAACTTAATCCATAAGTTTTAGTATCCCATAAAACAATGTATTTGTTATAATATAAAACACCATTGCAATCTTGTTGCATTAAAAATATATATGCTTTATAAAAATGTGCTAAAAAATCACCAGCATTAAGTGTGGCTATATATAAACCTTTATATCCACTAAATAGTCTATTCTTTAAGAAGTTACAAAATTTATATAGAATTGATTGTGTATAAATATCATAAAGAGGAGTTATTGTAAGAGTATAATGGCGAATTTGATATAAAATTGCAAAAATACCAACATCATGCTGAACAATAATACTTAAGAAATATGATGCTCTAAAATTTCGAAATGATAAATAAACTTGATTAGCAACTCCTATTATTAAACGTCCAGCATCATCATTATTAATTTCACGAATATCATTGTTTAATGGACAATTCAAACCAGCAGATAGAACAACAAATAACATATCTATTGTTAATGTTGTATCCTCTGAAAACATATGAACATAAGATGTCTGAAATATAGAACCTTCTGCTGTACTTGTACCTGAAGGTAATGATGAAGCTAAAAAATGAATAAAAAAGAAAACCATGTCATTCATATTAATTTGTTTTGGAATTGCTCCATGATTTCCATAAAATTCACGATGAAATCCTTTCTGAGCATAAGTTACAGAAATTAATAAGAATATAATTATAAGAAAATATTTCATGGCACAAAATTTAATGAATATTTAACCTATAATATTTATAAATATAGTTTAAAACAAGACATTATTTATTTGACACTTGTTTACTAGCATAGGGTCTTGGGATGACCAACTAGATGCAGTGGGTATTAAGAAAGAAATAGTGGTGAAACAAGATTAACCTTCTAATATATTAATCAAAACTATTACCACCTCTCCAACTAAAGATACTAGAGTAGAAGTCTTCCAACTGGCAATACTAGGGTAGGAATTACAGCGTAAAGAAATGAATTTCCATGTTAGATAGCACCATGCCACATGGTTAATTTCTGGCAACAACTCAGCATAGCTGGCACTTCTGTATCAGGGTATGCCAAACGTGTCATAGCTTGCAAATCTTTGCAATGGTAATTTGTCTATTTTCCCTTCCTTGCCATAGCTTAGTCAGCACAATCTATTTAGGTTTCTCATGAGTCCACAAGGCCCTATTGGGTTTGCATATGGTCGTCCATTGGGAAGAGGTAGATCCTTCAGCCACAGCTCATTGGTTTGCACCCAAACTCTATTATGAATCCATAGTGCTGGTTTTTAGAGTTGCCATAGCCTTGAGGTATGCAACTAGTCTTTGAAATCTTCCATGTGGATTGATGCTGTAGGACTCTTGGTTTTAGAGATTCATGTATGTCCAGCTTAGAAGGTAAGAGTTCAAACAAAATAAACATTGTAGAAAGTAGTGGTAGTTCAAGCAGCAGGTGAAACAGTGATAGCAATGGAAACATATAGATAAACAATGCTGATACTTTATTCTCCAAGATTGCAGCCTCAAACAAATTGCTCAGGCACTTGGGACTACTAAGCAATACTTGTACAATGCCTTGGCTAAGTTTAGATGGTTTTTATCAGTGAAGTAGTGGAGTTGATGCTGCTCAAAGATTGGGGATTAAGGAATGCACATGAGGCACTGAGGGTTAATATCAGCTCCAAAGTTGGTTTGCTTTTATAATTTATATTATGGTTCTAATTAATCTTCCATGGAATATATGGGTGTATGTAATGATGGGTGCATACAATACGAGCCATTGACTCTTTTCCTGGTTAGCGCAACCTTCATTAAAGCGAAGCTGATCCAACTTACAAAGGTGAACTCGTGTAAAAACATAAATGCTTGTATGGTTATATGAAATCCATCCCATCTTTTGATTGATATAGAAAAAAGCTTGATAGATCGAACTAAAGCAGTCTTTCACCAGTAGAACTTTGCAGGGATGTCAAATAGAGAGAAGATTAAGACAGGAAAAAAAAAAAAAAAAACAAAAGCTTCACGAGGCTATAGTCATGGTTCCCACAATCTTGCAAACCAGGCACCGGGGATCCATGGCATACACCACGAGTATCCTTGATGTGTATTGATTAGACGACCCTATCGACAAGAGACACACACGAGAAAGTTGTGGTGATCTGTGTGTAGATTTGAAAACAATGGATAGCTTGTTGGAGAAGCTCCATCTGTGTTGCTGGCAGCCGCACCACTATCTCACATGGAAATTCATTCTGTAGGTAATGTAAGAAACAGCACACCATATTCATGACATTCGCAAATATCTTGTAATGTAAAGTAATCCTAGCAAGATGGAAAGCTTCTGCAGTGAACATCACTACCAGGTTTTGACCATCAATTTTTTATTTCACCATTTTAAATAGTGTTATAACAAAATGATGGTAAAATTACAAGCTGATGTTCTCACTGGAGATCTTTCTGGATTTTTTTGTTGGTCATTTCTTTCAAATTGCTATTACATTTTTTATAAGAAATTACATAGCAAAGAAGAAGCCAAATTTGAATTCCAATGATTAATAGCTGTAGATCATAGATAGAATCATGCCTTTATAACAGTGCAGTTGTGGCTAAAGTTGACGCTCCCAGATCAATGCTGGAGAGAAGCCACGAGGTACTGCCCATGCCCTGCTCTCCAAGCCTACTCCACCCGGCCGTAGAGTATATTCTTTATTCCCTGCTGCTCTTTCTCATAGGATTTTCGCGACTGTGCCAAGGAAAAGAAGAGAGGAACTCACAGTTGAGGAATTTAGTGTGCTTTATCCAACTCTCGCATGACTTTGTGATGATGTATGACTTGCGGATCTATCACTCTCCTCGCAATCGACATGCACAAAAATCTGGAAATATCTTTTAATTGACAAATTTCGACCTATTGTGGCTTGAAACCCTAACATGGTGGATGCTTTGGCACCCACTGATTTTGGAATCCAGCAGCAGTATAAAATTGGAATGATACAGAGAAGACTAGCATGGCCCCTGCACAAAGATGATACGCATAAATTGAGAAATGGTCTATCCCTATGCGATTGATCTACTCAGCCCGGCCAGGAGGTTGCGAGCTTGGATTTCTCCAGGAATTCAGTGATCACTATGTAAACAAAGTGAGAGTTCTCTAGGTAGAGGTTTCTTCTTTACTTCCGCAAGATTTTTGTGTGAAAATGACTTTATGATTCATACCCACAAAAAAAAAAAAAAAAAAAACAATTGGTAAGACACTTTCTAGATAAAATCACCAAACCTTGCAAATTTTACTATAAATCCGCAAATTATGGCAATGCATCCCCAGATGATGGTGACTTGCAACAAGTTAGATGGCCTTTCATCTCTAACGATCAATATTGGTAAAAGCACCGTAAAGTTACATGGCCTTTCATCTCTAACGATAAATATTGGTAAGAGCGACATAAGCTGAAGCATTATCAGGATTAGATCCTATTAACGTCCTGGCCATTTTGTTTCCTTGTTGTGGGTCTCCATACAATCTACAACCCCCAAGCACACTCATCCATGTAACCCTGTCTTGTGATGGCATTTGCTCCATCACACTTACTGCCTCCGCCAAATGCCCTGCTCTGCTGAGCATGTCAATCACACACCCATAGTGAGGCAAGCTCGGCCTCATCCCAAATTCCACTTCCAATCCACCAAAGTACCGGCAGCACTCCTCGATCGATCCAGCATGGCCAAGAGCTGATAGGACAGTCACGAAGATCACATCGTTCGCCTCCACTCCATCCAGCACCATCTCTCGGAAAAACCCAATCGCCTCCACACAGCGTTCGTGCTGGGCGTACGCGGACACCATCGCGCTCCACGCAAAGATATCCTTCTTGTGGATCCCATCCATGCATTCCATTGCTCGATCGAATTCCCCGTGCTTGCCATGGATCGCGACCATCGCCGCCCCCACTGCCGTGTCCGATCCATGCCCGGCTTCGAGGATTAGCGCGCAGATCTCCAGCGAAGCTGCACGATCAGCTGGAGCCGATCCATCCGAGCTCTTGGAGCACGCGTCCAGAGCCGCCACGAAGGTGATCTTTTCGGGCCCGACACCATGGAGCAGCATCTTCCGGTAGATCGCGAGTGCCTCGCCCGGTCGATCGTGCTGGGAGAGCGCCACGATCATGCTGTTCCACGAGACAGTGTCTTGGCGCTCGTCCATCCCAGAGAAGATCCGTGAAGTGTCCTCGATGGATCCACACCGGCTAAACATGCTGAGAAGCGAATTCTCCACGATGACGTCCATGGGAAGAGACGATCTTCCTCGACTGATCATCTCGCGGGCGCACGACTCCAGCAGTATTCCATCCGCGATCGAGCAGCACGATTCCAGCACCGCGACGATCGAGTAGCCGTTTGCCAGGAATCCTTCCAGGAGCATTCGCCTGAAGAAAGCCATAGCCTCTCGAGGGCGATCCTTTTGAGCGTAGGCAGCGATGATCGTCGTCCACAGCACCACGTCGTGACAATCGCGAGCTCCATGGAAAATCCGCGTGGCTTCCTCCAATCGATTGATCCTCGCGAGTGTGGGGATGAGCCCCGCAGCGATCAGAGCATCGCATTCCAGCCCACGGGATTGGATCTGTCCGTGCACAAGCTCAATCGATCGATGAGCTGTAAGAGAAGAGTGTGATTGTGAGAAAGCGTGAAGGATCTCCAAGAACGTTACCTTCGTAGGATGGATTCCATCGAGCAGCATTCGATGGAAGATCACAATTGCCTCGATTGCCTCTCCGTTTCTAGCGAGAGCCCCGATCATCGAGTTCCAGCTCACGTCGTCGCGGATCATCGCCATGGAATCAAACGCTGCCCGAGCGCACGATGTGGATCCACACTCGCCATACATGTCGATGATGGCGTTGGCAAGCATGAGAGCTCGTGATCGATCGAAGCTCCCCGTGGGCGATGATCCAGCTTCGAGAAGAAGAAGGAACCCACTCTCCTCGATCAGCCGGTGGATTCTCCTGGCCGCCTGGATCGATCCCATTCTCGAGCAAGCGTTTGCCATCGTGAGCAGCGTCACCGCGTCAGGAAGAACACCGTCAAGCAGCATCGCCGAAAAGAGCTCCAGTGCTCGCGGCAAATCCCCAGACTTGGTATTTGCGGCAATTACTGCCGTCCAGCTGATTGGATTCCTCTCCTCGATTTGCTCGAAGATCGCTTCCATTCGATTCAGGAGGCCATACTTGCCATACATGTTGAGTAGCGCGCTGGAGAGGGCGAGATCTCTGATCCAACCGCCCTGGAGCGCGAGATCGTGGACGAATTCGCCCTCGGCAGGTATCTTGGAGTGAGCTGCGGCAGTGGCAGCCGAGATGAGAGTGATCTTGTTGGGCGGAACGCCGTGGAGAAGCATCGATCGCAGCAAGGATAAAGCCGCCCGGGAATCCCCATTGCGAGAATTTGCTGCGATGAGGCAAGACCACGAGATTACATCCCACCTGTGGGCTGTTGCTTGGAAGAGATTGAGAGCTTCCTCTAGGGCTCCATCGCGGACAAGATTTTGGAGAAGCCCGTTCGCGAAAACCTCATCTTGCTGCTCGATCAATCGGCTCCTTGAGGGGATTGCGCACAGCTCCTGGGGAAAATACCGGGAGGGATTTGAGAAATCAATGCTAGCAATCGAAGCGAAGATTGGAAGCGTGTGAAGGGTGATCAATGAAGTGCTTGACATTGTTGGGCAATGTGAGTGTTTTATTGATTCCTATTTTCAACAGGGGTCTATTCTTGATTGCTTTCTTTATTTTTTCATTTTTACTTGGAGGTAATGTTCAAATGAGGGGGCAATATTGGTTTTATGATCTCACAGTTGAGTATCAAGTGATTCAAACCTAGAACCAAGGGTTCTTATGCAGACCTCGAAGTGCTGCCACTGAGCCAAGATGACTGCCAATGGCCTAAATGTTCATGCTACTCACACGCACGCTATAGTGCAGCAAAAGACGCAGGGACAGCCACCTACAGCTGGACCTTTAGCCTCAGTCCACAATCAAGATCACTCACTGCTTGGTACTTGGTACAATTTCCCCCCTATAGCTCTTGGCACAAAGATGATCTTGAGATAAAAAGCTCCACAGCAGCCAAGAGTGGAATTAAGATCCACTTAATTAATGAGTGTCCTTGGATGGAACAATAAGTGCATCCAAGTGGGTAGGGATGTCAGAGCACATGAACTCCCAAAGGTCCTTCATCATTACTTAGCAAAAAGTGTTCTATGTTTATCATGTGAATTGAATAATTAATGGTCAATATAAATGAGTGATCTATTGTGGAATTCTTCCTTTTATGTTTATTGACAATTCTTCATTACTCTAAGTACAAAGAACACACAAAAGAAAAGAAAATAATCAAACTGACCTTTTAGAGTCTTATGCTACACCTAAAAAGCCCCCACTCAAAGAGTGGCTCATTGCCTTCTAATGTTAAATATTGTCTTCCCTAGAGTTGCAATTGAAAGAATCGAGGACAATCAAAATCATCACCTAATTTAGCACCATAGCATATTTCTTTGTCACTATGCTGTTGTTCAGGAAGCTTTAGATTTGTAAGTTAATTTCTTTTCATGAAAAATCAGATGTTTTGGGCCTTAACTTTTCCTAGGTGTTTATAGTTAAAAGAAACATCAAAAGGCAAATAAAATAATAGAACATACTATCAATGTTATGTGCACCATTGAAATTTAAGTCTATTGCAATTTTATGACCATGAGATTTCTATAAAACAAACTATATTGCAAATAGAAACTATTAGATACCAGGAATGCTATCCATTGTTTGTTGATGATGCAAGGAAGACTCTAAAGTTGTTTTCATTGAAATTGCCTCTGGAAGTAAATTTAATTTTATTGGATCTATATTTAGGCAAGGTAAGTGTCTATAAAAACCTTATCTTCAGGTACATTATATTGATGTATTGTCAATGCAATTGCCATATCTTTAGGTATGCTACATAGTAATATCTATAGAGACCCAAAAGTTAAAAGCAATACCAAAATAAACAAAATAATGTCAAGTGTGCAATTTTTGTAATTCTAAATCTACCATTAGGTTGTTGTTAAAAACAAAAAAAAGGACATATTAAATATCAGGAATGCCATTATGCTTACTAATATTGATATTGTTTCCAATCAATCCTTCTTTAACATGAGTAGGAGATGTTTTTCCAAGCTATGTAGTTACTCTAACATTGTGTGATAAAAAAACTTTTTTGTAACATACTTAGCTGTAGATTTAAAAACTTATCCTCTAGGCTTTGATATATTATATGAGATTTATTGTTGCCTACCTCTTGAATATATGATAAAGTAGAGAGATAGTCAATTGCATTGCCACTTGAGAACAAAAGTGTGCAATCTATGCTTTGAGAAGGGACAAAAGCCAAAGAGGAACTTTATGAATTGAATGTTCAATACATGATCAACATATAATATGAAACCAATGCATATATAAATTCTAACACATTGCATAGAAATACCCGAAATGATGCTAATATGGTATTGGTAGAAGTATAATATTATACCAAAAAAACTAATAAATTTATATTTTACATTTTACACTAAAATAATAATGTCAAATATCCTATATAGAATTTCAAATACTATACTTGGAAGTGTGCAAACCTTTCATTCTTTCAATGGTGTTTTTCTTTGACAACCACTTCCCCATGGAATCAAGTCCACTTTATATGCCTAGTGGCAATTGTGTGCACACCATGCATCACTCACACAACACAAGAGTTTGGTTATAGAGTCTACAGTGAGATTCTTCTCTTCGAGGGGAGTGAGAGTTTGATTTTTTGGCAGAAATTATGGTCTAAGCAACACTTGTCCTCACTCCCTTATAGCTGTGAAGTTTGCATAAAAAGATATAAGTGAGTAGCTTCTATTAATGAAACTTAACAAAGTAAATCTATAGCAAAAAATACATATTACATATATATTTGATCTATCTTCTTGAATGTTTATAGAACTTAAAACTATATATGATACAATACCTCCTTTTATCCATTTTATCCATTTTATGCACACACATTTGTGATATAAGCTGTGTCGGGGAGAAAATCTCCCTGAGAGGTGGCTACTCACCTCAACACTTGGTGTTGAATTATGATCGGCTACTAAGATCCAAAAGGGGGAAATTGTGCATTGCAACAAGTGATTTTGATTCCTAAGATAAAAATTTAACCCTAATCACCATCATCTAGGCACTTGTGGCCAAAAGTGGAATTAAGAACAGTAACCCCCTCTAGATTTCATGCTCTATGTCAAAGAGAAAGAGCCACTTGGAAAAATAAATGGCTGGGCATATCATTGGGTGTTTAGCTCACTTGCTCCACCATGTTGCTCATGCTAGCCATGATTTGATCAAGAAATAAAGCACTACATTGCACATATGGTATAGTTGTCAATTGGCCATCATATTTACTGTCTATTGGCCACCAAAATATCCACCTAATTTTTACTAAAAGCATGTCTTTCGAGGTTGTCCCAAAGTCTGAGATCCAACTGCTGCTATCTTAATTTTTATATATATAAATTACTTTTAGTTTAATGAGATAGCTTGATTGCCATACATTTGATCCATCTTGATAAAGAAAATGAATAACTTAATTATTTTGAAAATGCTTTAATTGCTTGAGCCACTGTAACACAGATGAGGGATTTACCTCAACTTAGTAACAAAGTTGTGACAATGTCATGATTTTATTCTTTCTACAATGAATTAAGTGTGGGTAAAGTGGTATTCTAATAAAATTTATTGATATAGCCACACATTGCATTTCCAACATGTAAAGTTGTTATTAGAGTATTTGGACAAGTATAATATTGATAAACTGAGATGGCAATGAAAGTGAGTAAGCTCGTCCCCTTGTTCTTAAACTTGTAAGCAACAAAAAAGAACAATTTAAGAGATGATCCATTAAGGTTTAAATATAAAAAGAAAGTGTCCATAAATAAAAATATAGTTAAACATCTTTGAGTTTAAATAATATTAAGGTGGGTGACTTTTCAAAAAGTCCAAATTCAAGAACTTACATTTGGTATTAAGTTTTAAATCTAACTCTATTAGCTAACTAGGGGAATAACCATATGTTGAGATTAATATCTAACGGTCCAACCAATGAAGCAAACCACATATTGAGATTAAGATCTACCAGTCCAACTAAGCATGGTAAATTATAAGTAATGAAGAAAACAATTTAAATTTCATCCTCTTCCACTTGGTAAAAATGGTCCTCTCTACTCCTTTAGCTTTGTGCTCTAAACATAGCATGCTTATCAATATGGTTTTCAATTTCAAACTAGTTGAAAAATAAGATTTTTGAAATGGGTCTACATTACATAAAAATAAACTTGTTATAGCCTACAGCTAATTTGACACCATGAAATGGATATTTGACACCATGAAATGGATATTTACCAATTGGTCTCAATCCTGGAAATGCCACATGGATCTTATATCTCCAATTGAACCTCCAACAAACAATTGACCTATTGCTAGAGTGGCTTGTTCATCTGCCCAGCAAAAAACTCAAACCCACCACTCTTACCAATCCTTCTCCAGCTGTAGTCTCTAAGATTCATAGCCTAGCCTTCATCTCTAGTGAGCTAATCTCTAACTTGCAGCCTCCAACAAAAAGGCCCAGCTACTGCTACTACTTTTCTATATCTCCAAAATCTTAAAGACTTTGGGGGCTCATGATTTTCCTGCATGGCAAACAAACTATTTTAACCTCATATGTGCGGGACAAAATTTGGACCACATACCTTTGGAGATCTTGTGGACTTGGAATTCCTTGAGTGTAGTACAAGTATGCAGGCAACGCTTGTTTAATCTTACAGCTCAATTGGCTCCAATATGGCACTCATGTTGATACTCATTGAGTTTCTGCACTCCAGTTGGGTTCAAGGACTTGGTCACTACTGTCTTCCATAGCCGCCAGAATAAACATGAATCCTGAGTGATTTGAGGAAGTTTTCTGTGAAACTAGCAGATTGATGGCTGGCAGTCACTTGAAGTTGCGTTGGTGAATATTTGTTGTAGACTTTGCATGTCTCAACCATCTAAAGCATTTCTTGTGGTAGGGCATATTACAGAGTTCAACAACATACACCCTCATCCTAAAAGGATTTTTTTTTGTTAATTGTTAATAAATAACATGAAACCACCTACCTTGTATGGATAGATCAAGTCTAAATGCAATGCAACTCCAGTACCCAATGGTTCAACAAGCTCCAAAAAGACTAAGCATTTCTGAGTAACATGCAAATACAGCTTCTCTAAAGTGGCTTGCAATAAACCAGGCAAAACTGGCACTGTTAAGAAGGAATGTAATCAATCTTGTATAAAAACCATACTGGCAAAGGCACCCTTTGAGAAGTTTGCAAGATCGCACAATGCATAGAAGTTCACCCACCCCCAAAATGGCACTCATATTGAGAATCACTGAGTTTCTACACTCCTGCAGCTTGTTGCCAAAGAGCAAGGAGAACAGCTTCCGTTTGGGCCTAAGGACTTTAAGCAAACCACTTAAAGTCTAGGTCACTTTTTACAGTAACCTTGATCGTCCTGTCATATATGTTTGTCTCCATATGCAAAACGCAAGGCAGCCCTCTGATTCCCAGATAAACCCGCTCATCATACCTGTAGAAACTCAATATGCTAAAGGGCACAT